TTAGCAAGCTCTGCTTTGCAGCATCTTCCTGGGTTAAGATGCTTTGGCAGATTTTTGTTATGATTTTGGTCTCCTCAATTCTATTTATTACAGGAGAACTCATACATGCCTCAGGACAAACTCAGAGGGGAACACAATCTGCAACCAAGTGAGTATGAGCATCTTCAAGGAATGGCTCCAGCAAGGCTCCACCCTGACCAAAATCCCTGCTTCATAGGGAAGGCAGCCCTCCGGTTCTTAAATTAGTAATTCTGGGCTTGGAGGTGTCACATTCACATGGTATATTTGAACAAAAGATGTAATTCAAGAGCTAAAACTGTGCTGTGGTCACCTATAGATCTACATTATATATTTTCATGCAAAAACTAAGGCTGCACAATGCTTGGTAACAGCCATTGCATCCACTTGTGGACTGATGTGGTTGGAAAACATTTCCAAGCATTCAAATCTTTCTCTGGACATCTTTTTAATATTAAGAAATACTAGAAAGTGACATCTGATGATAGTGTTTTGTTAGTAACCTGTGTCTCTGCAGTCCTGAAGTGGCTGCAGGGAGAATTGAACAAGCTGAATTCTGGAGGGGAAAACAAATATCCCTGTTTCTGGGAACACTGCAGCTACAACACTTTGTTCTCACTAAATTTGTGCTTCTTCCCTGTGGTTTGTTCTCATGCTGTTGTGAACCTCTTCTCAATATTGTATTTTTATTTCACATCCAAAACAAACCAAGACAAAAACCAGAAAACACAGCACATACTAGGAAAGAAGAAAAAAACAATGCACAGGTGGTCACTGGAAAATGTTGAGTTTCCATCATGCTAGGTTTCCAAAAACCCCACAGGACATGGTCCTGAGCAGCCTGACCCTGCTTTCAGCAAGAGGGTTGGACCAGGTAATCTCCAGAGCTTCCTGCCAACCTCAGTGATGTGTGGGCACAAAGACCTGTTCCAAGCACTTTGCTGTATGCAGGGCTCAGGCAGCATCCTTAACAGTAAAAAAAAACCTGTGCAAAGAGACTTTCAGCCTTTAGCTGGCTTCTGGTAGAGCCTGACATGAAGGAAGTCACAAAGTGCTGGAGATCTATAATCCTTTGGGGCAGTTCTGGCTAAGAGCTGTGACAAGCTGATTTTTTTTTTTTACCATTGTTCAATTTCTGAACAATGTTTGCTCTAATGAGTACTATATTAAGCTCTCACAAGTAAGGATTATCACAGTTGTAGTAAAAGCATCATCAAAAAGGATTCTTGGTTTGGCATTCAGGTGACAGAATTGGATGATCTTGGTTCCTTCTTTCCAAGCCAAACCATTCCATGGAGTCTAAAATCCATATGTAATCCGTATGAGATTGGCTGATATACCTACCACACTCTGAAGGGTTCATTAACAGCCCAAAAAGCCCATGGTCCTAATCACCCACTCCCAGTTGCGTGACAAGAGTAGCTTTTCTAAATCCATTTAATAATGGCTACAGGAAACAGGATCACAGAAAATTTCAAAACTGCTAAAATCCTTACTGAGCTGGAAAGCTAATGGAAACACCTTGAAACCTAAAAAAATCCCAACTAAAAAACCAACCAACAAAAAAAACCCCAAACAACCAAAACAAAACACTAAAATTTGGGTTTTTTTTGGAGAGGCCAAATATTGAGCAAAACTAAAATCATAGGAAATTTTAAGTAGGACCAGATCTGGAGTATTGGACGTTTCAAAGTTATCACAGAATGGTTTGAGCGGGAAAGGACCTCATACAGCATCCTGTTTCAATTAATTGCTGTGGGGGCAGTCCTGGGCTTCGAAGATGGTGCAAGACCATTTGATTAGTCTTCAGTCCACAGTGCTTGAAAACTTCTTAATGTCTTTTCTGTACCAAATAATTCAAACGCCCCTTTCTCGAGAATTAAAGAGCAAGTTCCCAGGTATTGATTTTCCTATTTTAGCACTTCAGCAACTTTTCACCAAAGTACAGTGAAAACACCACCCCCCAAATCCATCCAAGATGATGAACTATCTCTGCATGCCAGTCATAGCTCTAGATGCCTCAAGGTACCATCAAGTTCTTTTTTTTTTTCCCCCAGTTTAAATCCTTAGCACACTATTGGAAATTTCAATTGCCAGTATTGGAGATACAAGACGAGTAGATTTCAAACTGCACCATCTCTGCTAATTTCAGAGAAAAGACTGCAAATGATAGAAAATACTATACCCCTTGTCAATCCCAGTTAATTATCCTCAATCTTACAACTGATTTTTATTTTTTTTTTCAAACTTTTTTTTTTTCCTGTCAGTGTCAAGGTCCTGGCACAGGTTGCCCAGAGAAGCTGTGGCTGCTCCATCCCTGGAAGTGTTCAAGGCTAAGCTGGACAGGACTTGGAGCAACCTGGTGGAAGGTGTCTCTGCCCATGGCTGGAGGGTTGAACTGGATGAGTTTTAAGTTCCATTCCAATCCAAATCGTTTGATGGTGATACTCTGCCTCTACACCAGCATGAAATGCCCCAACAACAATTTCTTCTTGCAAAGGAATCCACAAATACACCTGAAGGTACCTCTTCCCTAACTTTCTCTTTGATAAGCTATGTTGAGCTCTAATTTTATCACAAGGTAAGGGTTTCTTTTCTGCTGGAAGAAAACAGATTCAAAGATTCTCAGGACAGACTTTGAGTAGGGGAAAAAACTCAGTCCCACAGTTTGGATGGAAACCATGCACATGTAAACATTCTTCATGGTTTACTTCAAAACTTAGGGAAAGGAGTCAGCCATAGACAGGCAGGTGCTAAACATACTTTTTTCCAATACAGGCAAACCCCAAACCAGTGTTTTTCTAGTTCATTATTCTAAATTATGATCAGTTTTCTCTGGATTCAATGTTGCCAAGCTGCAATCATCTGCCTTTGTGGGGATGCGCAACCACATTCACCTGTGAAATCATCAGACTTCAGGAACTATTTCTGCATTAGAAACAAAAGCATATAGTCTTAATTCAAAACTTTTGATTTTTTGGAAGGTTTTAGAGAGGTGGTTTTGTTTGTTGGTTTGGGTTTTTGTTGTTTTTTTTTTTAATCCCATTGATTTAATAATTTATGGTGTTCAAAGGGCCCTTCTTCTATTTTGCCCTGAAATTCATCCTTTTTTGAAAATTCATGTGTATTGCTGCAGCACTAGAGCACGTTCATTTAACTGCTGAATTCAAAGCAACTCATTAATGCAATTTCACTTGCTATACAATTTATCCAGTTTTCTGATAAGATACAAACTATTGCTAGCTAATTCCCAGAACCAAAAATTATCACCATCATACCTACTCCTTCTTCCATTCCAAGAAAGGACATCAAATTAATTTCAGGAATGAAGATGCAGCTTATGAGGGACATGGGATATGCAAATATTGTTTTACATACTGATGTTTTATTTTCAGCAGTTTGATGATATTGGTAGGGCTGTGAGAAGTGGATACGTGGCTGCAGGGGGATGAAGTATCCCAAGGGCAGGTGGGAAAAAAGCTGCACATCTGGCAGGCACACAAAAGAACAGGCAGTGATGCCTGGAGTTCATGCAAAGGAGAGAAGGCCAAATGCTCCAAGCACCTTATCTTACTGTCATTATAAAAAATAATGTTAAAAAACCCCAACTGTGTCTACCCTACATTTTAGCTCATCTTGTGTATTTCTTATTTGTAAAGGTATTCATATGATGAAGTGCTGAAATATATGAATTCGGTAAAAGAATCTGAAGAAAAACAAGTTGAAATTTGGGAAAGCAGCAAGAGAAGAATGTCAGGAATGCGCACACTGATTACCAAATTTCTTCCTTCTAAATTTCTCACACCACCCCTAGATATCCCCACCACGTGTTTCAACTTGCCAACCTTAATCAATCCCTTCTCATAGAAACATGAAAAGCTTTAAGATGTTAAACATTTTGCTGTCTTCAAAGAACTGTCAAATAGTCCACTGTAGTTGTTCATTCCTTTGCTCCAGCCATCACTAAAGAGGCAAACAAAAGTCTTACATAAAACATCAGAATAAATTGGATCAGAACTCAACATATAGTTGAGTGAATCTATTAGGTGCATTTCTTGGTATCTATTTTCGGCTAGGAAGAGCATATACCTTCACCTAAAACTGAAATTGAAACTTAGGGCAATGTTCTTAGTCATAAGTGTTTATGACAATTCTTGCTCTCTCTTACATTCTCATGGCCTTCCAGTCCTACATATACCATGGAACTCAAAGCACTGCACGAGCCCAGGTGACAATGAAAATTTGAGACAAGCTAGAAGAGAAGAACTGTGTGTGTCACCTGCTTTGGACCCTTCACAATGGGGTATGGAAATATAACCATTCCTTATGCTGACTTATGCAAAGCACAACAGACTGTCCATTGCCAATAACATCAGTATTAAGCCTCTTTTTGTCATCCTGTAGCACTGGGGAACTTTCACAACTTAGAGCATCACTTCTTCACTTTTGTTGATTGCTGTGGTTTCATTAAAACAAGAGTAAAATCTCCCCAGTAGTTATCAAAACCTTAGCTACCTACAATGACTGGCAGGGTTATTACTTAACTAAAGAAAGGAATGTGGAATATTTCATTTAAACATATTATTCTCTTCCATCCTGAGCACTATGGACATCAGAATCCAAACTTATTTCAATACAAAGGTAACATCACAAAAAATCATTAGTTTCATAACCCGCTATTCCAGTATTCACATGTCAAATTTATCAGGACATTTCTCTACAATTATATTCTACACTATTTCAGAACTAACATTGATGGAAAAAGAAGACTGAAGGAAAAAAGAAGTATATGAAGATCCCAGTAACTTATACGACAACTGATGTAAGAGAAAACCAAGAGCCCCCTCTAGGGGTTACTGCAAGTTCTAACATAGGTGGATTCAGAACAGGTTAGATAATGGTTTTTAGGGTCTGTATTTTTCAGTTTGAGTTACTCCAACTGGAATTCAACCTAAACTACAATATCAACAGTAAAATGACAATTTAAAAAGAAAAGACTGACGCAAAAAGCTGTATTAGATTTTGGATGAAATCTACTTACAGTACTTCAGCACCAAAACGTGGGCAGTTAGGCTTATACATTTATATACAATTAAATGATGTCAAAGTCATAAAATGCTTAGTTATTTATAATGAAATCTATACAAAACAGTTAAAAACATGGTTTTATATACATTTTGAAAACAAAAAAAAGTATTGTCTCAATTACCAGAATGTATTAAAACTGGTTCTCTTGTTCCATCTGAACCCAAACCACTCACTGTGACTTGTAACTACCACAAAACCCCAATGTATTGCTTCAACAAGCCAAGGCATAAGGCTAATTTTGGAAACCCACCATTGAACACCCATTTAAGCTTTTAAACTCCCCAAATGGTCAATTTTAAAAACAGCATGTAAGAGTAAAATATAGATTTTTAGAAGTCTTGGCTCACTTCTAAATTCTCAAGTTCAACTTGGAAAGATGTTGAACTATTTATCCCCAATTTTGAAAAACTGATTATAGCAAAATGCACCTCCTTCTCCCTGGTTTGTACTAGAATTAATACAACTGCCTGTTTCACAGGAACTTTTTTCAACAACTTGTCTCACTTTAAATTTCATATTTAAATAAATAATCAAAGGTCAACTAGAGTAGATGAGCATTTTGTATGCTTATGGCAGAAAGAAATGCCTCATCTACTGTTACCCTACTTCTTGTAAAGCATGAAAACAAAATTCCACTAGCAAATCCACTTTGCTACCAGTTAGCAGTTTTGTTTATTTCCAAACATTCAGCAACAAGAATTAAAAAAAAAATATTTTAAGCTTCTGAAAAAAATTTTCAAGTGAGCATGAGTGCAAGAAAGCCAACCAATTCCAAAATTCCTGGGGCTTTTCCAGCACTGTCAGAGACATTTTTTCTCTCACATGCTATTTGAAAATAAAAATATTTATTAAATGTTTTTTTTTTAAATGGTGTTTTGTTCAACAACTAAAAAGACACAGCAAAATAATGATCCCTTTTCACTTAAAGCTGTTTCAGTATCTGGGCAAGGGCTTCAATAGCACAAGCTGTAGGATTCATTACAGATTTGTTTCTGAACAGGAGTACATTCCACTGTCACAGGTTTACTAAATCTTGGTACCTACATCTTCTCTTTTTTTTTTCCAAAACAATTTTTAAGATTTAGCTTTTGCAATACTGTCTTGTTAAAACCTACTGATGCTTCAAGAGTCCAATAAACAATTCTAATAGGCAAAGTGCTCTAAGACATCACAATAGAAGGGCATCTTGGATGCTCAAAAATCCCAAGATATTTTAAAGTATACTCCAGTGTTTCTCTTCCTTAGGATTGCTCAAGAGAACTTTGAGAGGGGCTGGGCTCAGTGCCATCCTCAGTGCTGCTGTCCACGTCTTGCTCCATTGCTGTCTCCTCATCATCGAGGCGCTGACTGGTGAAGTTGTTGAGCTCCAGGAGCCCGCTGGGTTCCACCACCACATTGGAGCTGGAGTGACAAGGGATGGGATAGTGAGGGATAGTCTGAAAGAAAGAAAATATTTAAGTTTAATGAACAATATTGAAAGTAAAGGCATCTGTGCAAGCACAGATTTGTGGAAAAGGGATTATTTGGTTTCCAAGGGCAATTTTCCCTAACTGAGGCTTCAAAGCAACCTTCCACTGGATTGCGTTTTGAATGGTAAAATTTGAATAATCTTGCTCTCCAGGTCTTTGATCTTCCCTAAAGGTCTGTGACATAACCAATGCCCATCATCCACCATTCTGCAAACCCAAAGCAGAAATAATATTTTCTTCAGCCTGATCTTTTTTAGACAAGACATGGTGATAAAAGAATAACCCGAGTTAAAATGACTCACAAGGACCATCGATTCCAACTCCTGGCCCTGCAGGGGACAACACCAAGAATTCCACCAGGCAGTGCATTGCCCAAGCACTCCAGGAGGATTATGTTTCTTGTGTACAACAGAGTTCAAGCTCTGGCCCTGCTCAGAGCTGCAGCTCAGAGGCTGAAGAAACACAGTTGCTATTTATTTCTAAGATTATTGTAATTATGGTTATTATGTTATTTATTTTTACTTGTACTTTCATAAGTTGAAAAGCTAAATCTGTGACTTTATACAACTGAAATTCTGGGCATTATTTGACTTTTGAAACAGCTCATAGCATGCCACAATGATAAATAGCACCAATTCTCAAAAGATACAGGTTTGAAGTAAAACATAAATCTATCTTTTATATAAAGAGGACTAAAAATTAATACAGAACTGGTAATTGCTACGAAAGAGAAGTTAGTCCCAGTAAAGATTTCACAAAGTATCATGAAAAATTTGAAATCATTGCACACAAATTGTTCCCCACATCAGAAGTATTTTCACTGTAACACAATCATGATACATATTAAAACAATTTGAATCCACACTACTATTTGTGTGAACATATGAACATATAAAAATTCACATTACACTACTTGGAAGACTTATATACCCTCCTCAGTTGACATTGTGACAACTTATTACAGAAACCATCATATTTAAGGCAGCAGAATCAGTGAAAATATCAAGCATAGCAGTTAGGAAATGATTCAAAGCATTTAGGCTAAAGATCAATAGTAATTTTATCTCAGAAGTGGTCTTACCCTAAGTGAAGTTTAAAAGTTTTCTTCTGATTTCAGACCTTATTTGCTGAACCTTTCCAGTAAGCAAACCCTACAATGTCATTAATTTTACACTCAGAAGCAACTTTAATAGATAGTACAAAGGATTCTAAAACATAACTCCATACTAAGTGTTGAAGCAGTTTTAAGCATTGCAAATGAAAGTACTTTGTAAAATGGGATGAGTTTGGTTGTTTTCTTAGAAGAAGGAAGACACTGAGGACATAGTAAATGATACACAGTACTAGAGAAACCTGAGCCCAATTAAGAAGAATTACACTTCAATGTTGCAATGATTACAAGCTAAGAGTAGAAACAGAACCAAAACCTGGGGAATAAACCCAGGAGTACTCAAACATCATTCAGTGACTACCATCTCATCAGACACGTGTTTGCTGTGCTCAATCTTTGCCTTATTCGCTCATTCTTCTCTTACCTGGACAACAATTTCTGAAGAGCTCTCTTCAGCTTTCTTTTGTGATATATTCTGAATGTGTATAAACTGGTTTGTTGTAGGTATTCCTCGTGCCTCGAGCTTCCTCTCTGTTAAAGTAGGACCAACAGCAGGAGGACTTGAGCTGGATTCTGTATGTGTCTGTTGCTGGGGGATGGAAGGTGCCGTCATCCCTACTGCAGCCACCCTCGGGCCCTGGGTACAAGGTGACGACTCTGCTTCACTAGCAGCTGCACTAGTGGACGTGGCCTTGTTTGGGGGATCCACTACCGTGTGCTCTATGTTTGCATCAATCTGAGCTTCCACCATAGACACTCTCAATATATCTGCTACTGATGTCTCCGTGGATGCCTGCATGGGAAATAGGCTGGTAACCAGCAATGCCAGTTTGGGCACAGAACTGCCACCTGCTACCTTTGAAACAAAAGGAGGCTCGTGCCCCTCTAAAGTTAGCTCTGTAACAGTGGATCCTTGCATTACAGTTAGATGTTGCACCTGAAAATCAAATATTTGTTGTGCATATTACAGTTAATATATTTTTTATTGAAATCCTCATCAGTATTTCCAAGGAAAGAATGGCACAAACAACATACTTGCTATTAGGAAGACAATTGAAACTCAGTGTTTTAACAAAGGAATTAGCAATGATAGGGCAGCAGTTAATTGAAGCCTGGGGAAAAGCAGCTTTTTAGGCTGCTAGGATAAGGATTGTAGCAGTATAATACCACAGCAGCGTAATTTTCCTTTGGGATTTACAGCCCCCTGGTCTGTTTGCTAGTTTTCACATCTATTCCTGAAAGGGCCAAAAAAATTGTACTTTTCTGGAGTTAGTCAAAATACATTTTTTCCCATGTTCCTCAGTCTCTGCCTTTTTCCCCTCCCAAGGAAAATCGAAATATTCCTGTATGTGAAAGCCATATAACTTCAGAAAGATGTAAACTACAAAGGAAGAGGAACAATGGAGAGCCTTAGGAGACTGCAGTGTATTCACCTTTATTTCTACAGAAATAAAAAGTGCTACGGGAACAGAAATTACGAATGTGTCATTATCTAAAAATTAAAAGAAAACAACTAGGGACAAATTCCATGCACCAGTGGTGGCTGAAATTAAGAAAAACTGTTCAACAAAATAAGTTTGTGAGCTCTATGGATTTTTCCCCTATAACATGTGCTTCTCTCTCCTAGTGTCAACCTTCTGCTGGGCTAGCTACTACCAGCGGAATGAGGGATTCTCTCTTGCCAGGACAAAACACTGCTACAGCGACAGGGTCGGTGTTTTATACTTTTTTTTTCCTTGAACAGCGACGTGTATTTTGCATGCTATCAATATTCCGTTACCTGGCTTGCTGGCTGTTTCTCTGAAGAGGCAGGTAGCTGCATTTGACTCTGGGGGGGCTGGGGTTGCACGTAGATTTTTTGTGCCGTTGGTGCCTGTTGCAGTTTGGGCAGCTGCTGAGTGGTTTTTACTGCAAGCACCTGTACTACAGTTTGCTGTGGCTGTGCCACTAAGGTAGGGAGTTGCCTTTCTTTGGCCATCATATGATGTGGGGGGTGCTGTGCATCTGGTTTGGTCTGTGCTTGCTCTTGCTGCAGGGGGGTTAGCTTTTGATGCCTTATGGAAAGTTGGGGCATTTGTGGGAGTTTGTGCTGGATTTGATCAGCCTGCAGGTGGATTGTCTGCTTCTGCTTAGTCTGGAAACACTGCAGAGTTTTCACTTGCAGTTGAGTCTGTTCCAGCTGCGGCTGACTCAGTTTTTGCTGCTTTTGTGCCTGCGATTGTGTCAGGGCAGATCTGTAAAACAGGCCAGTCTGAGGATCTAAGGTGTCCATCTCTTCCACTTCTCCCTCCTCAGTTCCAAGTTGTTCACTGTGTTTGGTAAATGCAGTGTGACTGCTTAAGGCCTTAAGAAGAAGAATTTAGAGCAAGTTAGTAAAGAGAAATATAAGAACAGAAATAGAAATTATAGAAATAATTTTAATAGAAATTTTATAGAATAGTTTTTATAGAAATAATTTCTAATGTTTCAAATTGACTACTTCAACTTTTTTTACCATTACAGACTCCCAATGCATGTATAAAAAGATACACTTACACAGGTATTTCACAATATATAAGCAATCAAGGTCTATTATTATCATGTTAAACTTAGTGAGAACATGAGCTTCACAACCCTCTGTTGGATTATGTAGATCTTGCTTGTGTCAGACTGAGGCTCAAAGCTCCCTAAGGTTGCCTGGCAGTTGGATAGGAAACAGCAGGGAGTAGCAGGAGGCTGAGCCAGTAGCTCCTCATTCAAGCCAGAGTCTCTCTGCACAATAATTTTTTATTCTGCCTCTTGAAAGCCTAATCATCTTCTCTAAAGTTTCTTCTGCAGGGCCACATTTAACTACAGGCAGTCCTATTTTAACGGAGATCTTCTTCCTTTCTCAAAATTGCATTGCAATTGTTCCTGGGCATTACACAAACATGTCTTTCTGAGGGAACGAGCAACCTATGCTTTGTAAACCAAAATGTATAAATGCACTGAAAAATGGTGTTAACAAGATCAAACAGCCTAATGCACTTGTAAAAGTATACTACCTGGCATGAGTTAATAACTCTAATGCAGAACTGTTCTGGACTGCAGCTGAAGTTGCCACAAGTTAAAGCACTGCAGAGTTGAGGAAGTCCTGATCAAATCCATTCAAGTGGCTTCAGCAAGACTTCACCACAAGCTGCACTTCTTGTTTGAATAGTTTGGAATCCCCAGAGTCCTAATCTAAATATGGTCTGATTTTTGATTCAGAGAAGTTTCCCTGTTTACAAACTAAAGACGTCAAATGGAAAAGCTATTGTGTGCTCTGTGTACTGACCAGATTCCATTTCAGCCCTCTTTCCCCTGCACTACAATCGATATAACCTAATGAGGTCAGGCCACTGCAATACTGCAACCACCCTCACCATGAAAACACAATCACAGAATGGCTTGGCTTGGAAAAGACCTTAATGACCATCTAGTCCAACATCCCTGCCCACAGGCAGGGACACCTTCCACTAGACCAGGTTGCTCCAAGTCCTGTCCAACCTGGCCCTGAACACTTCCAGGGATGCCACATCCACCATTTCCCTAAGCAGCCCATGCCAGTGTCTCACTAACCCTAGAAAAGAATTTATTTCTAATATTTAATCTAAACCTCCTCTCCTTTGGCTACTGAAGTGCTATTAAAAGAATTTCTTTTCCTGTATGCTGAACATCTTAGGTGGCAGCACCATGATACATACATTCAGAATAAGCCCTGGTCCTATGCAATTTATATGACCTACTGCTGTTTATAACCTTCTGGGAAAAGAAAGGATCCAACCTGCTGCATGATATGGGTAATGGCGCCAGTGGAGGATGCAGGAATAGATTTCACCACAACAGAAGTCTGCGTTGCTGTCTGGGACTGAGCCACGTGCTGCACCAGAGTCCTCTGGGGCTGAGATGACTGGTGGGGCTGGGACCGATGACTGACTGCAAGTAAAGAGGTCAGTGGCACTTCTCCAGAACTAACTGCAGGAACTTCAACTGTCTGCTTTGCAGTTAAGCTTCAACTGAAAGCATACATGAGTGAAAAAGATCTAAGCATGGAAAATGTGTTTCACTGTGTGCTAGTGTCAACCTTCATGATCTATTCTGAGAAACCTCTTAAGGTAGCAACTCTGAGGTTTTGCTTTTGTCTCCTTTCCTAACTACACTTGGTCAAAACCTCCTCTGGCCACTCTTTCCCAATACATCAATTTTGCAAGCAGAGTTTGTACTTGACGTTCAGCTGTGTTCTTTATACAGCACTAGAATATTGCTGTAGGACACGAGTTATTATGTGGTTTTTACACCGTTAAAAGCACAACCACAAATGACTGCAATTAAGAACAGCAAGCCTTGCTCACCAGGTTTCTACCACTGATGAACTGCACCTAATACTCCCCAGAGCATAACCTAAATTTGGAAGATTAGCAAGATAAGATTAGCAAAATAAGATTGATTAGAAAATGTTTGGGTTTTATTAAAGCAAATGAGGCTGATCAGAAATGATAGATCAAAAAATGTAGACCTTGTTATGGGTCTATGTCACTTTTGAGAACAGATCAAGCTTGAGTTACAGAGCTATTGTGATAGGCCTATAATTAAACAGTGAACTGATAGAAAAATCATGTGCTGCTGAGGGAACAAAAAACCCAAAAACCAAAAAAAAATTTTATATTCCAGTCACTGATAAGATATGAATCCAACTCTCTTTATGTCTGTCCATACTAACATGCAAATATTTGTGTAACTTCATTTCTTAGTTACAAAGTATTTAATCACTGAAGGAGAACAAGCAAAGTTTAAACTCAGTTGCAACATAACTTAAAATTAAAAAGTTTCTAGTGACCTTCCTGAAAGGTCTTCTTTCTTTTTTAAAGAAAGGTCAAATTTTGAATTAATATGGTAATTTCACTTTCTCACTCCAAGAAAGTTGGTTTACATCAATACTGGCCTGCATGCTGTGCCAGATTTATCCTGGATATCTCCCAACAATTCCTACACAATTGAAAACTTAATTTAAAAATAAAGTTTCTAACCTATATGGTTGTGTAGATATTCTTCCGAATGTGAACCAATACAGTGTTGTCTTCCTGAGTCTGCAGACAGACAAAAAATGGTGACACTAAGATGTGTGAATTGCTCCCTTCATCTCATGAGGAAGCACATTCTGAATCCCAGCTCCCAAATCCTTTGGTCTAGGCACATGCAGGACATTTCACAGCAGACTATAGATTCTTTACAATCTTCCTACTGAATTTTTAGCAGAAAATATAGCTATGTGGGTTACTGATAAATTCAGAGAATCACGACTCAAACCAAAAAGAAACTCAGTTACTTGCATTTCTTGGCAATGTTCAGAGAAACGGGGAAGGAACAAAAATCTAAGTGCAAAATAACCAGTTTAGTGCTGCAGCAGAACATGCTGCTGCCAGCCCATAGGAATCTGCATTTCTCTGGAAGATTCCCACATTTCAAATCAATGTTTACAGAAATCCTAATATTTAAAATAGTATCTCCGTATCTCCAGGAAATTTTTAGCCATTGCACTTTGTATGGTTTCTAAGAAAAAAGAAAAGTACTGAAGTCTACAAAGACACAGACTTGTAATTTTCCATCCTCCCTGCAGAAGGCCCTCTTGTACATCAACTTTCACAGCAAGACCCATCAAAAACTGGAACCTTGAATAGAAGCTCAATGCACAATATCTGTGTCAGTGAAGATATTTGACTGCTAATTGGAAAGCACTTTAACACCATTTATTATACTTTGGAGTTTGTTCTAAAGGAGATCCAAGGGACCATGATTCAAATATTTGAAACTGAAGCCAGATACAGTAAGTGCTATTTAAAAGAAAAATAATAACATCCCCTCAGCCCAGATTTCACACAACTTAAATTCAGGCCATTCAAGGGATGGGAGTAAGGAAAGTAGGTAGAGAACAAAATGAAAATATCAGATTAGACATTTAGCACTAAAATCGTGGCTCTACAGATATACAGTAATACAGTTTAATACAATTAAGTTTTATTTCTCTTTTCCAATGTAGACTTCCAACATGTTTTTGCTTTCATTTTCCAAATAATACAGAGACCAACAATATGGGTTTAAGAAATGAAAATGGAAAACAGGTAATCTGATCCTTTCATGTAAGTGTCTCATAGCTAGAGTTCTGGGGTTGTAGGGAACATCAGAGAGACAAGAGAATGGACTTACACAAAATGGATGTCCAAATAGGAGTCAAGAATTTAAAGAGATGAATTTAAGTAACTTATATATTTAGAAGGGCATATTTATTAGTTCAAGGCTTTCTAGAAAATTAAGAAACTGGGGCTACATTACCATGCTAAATGCACACTTGGCTTTATCTCGGGACTAAATGGATTTTAACAAACTCAATGTCTGACTCCTTTCAGTAAATACAAAAACTAGGCTATGGTTCCTCTAGCTTCATTTTCTACTTTCTTCTTACTGCACATTTTCCTTAAAGGGTGGTGGGACAGTCAGTCTTCTACGTCCAGGGAATGGAAAATCTACTTTAGTGGGCTATCCTGAAGCAACCACTCTGTTTCAGTTAGAAACCTTTTCCCTTATGGCCCAGCATGACAGATGCAATCTCTGTCCCCTGCATAGGGTCTCAGGAGTGGAAGAAAATACTCATTTCCTCTACAGAAAATTACAGCAAAAACACGAAAGTAAAACCTATTGTAAGAAAACTCCAAAATTAAGTCCTCAGACTTCAACTGCAAAGCCACTCTCACACTAACCTTACACACTTACCAGTTGTGATATATTCAGCCACTAGTTCTGACTCTACAACAGCAATTGAAGGACTTTCTGGAGAATGCCTCTTTTCTTGAGTCATCTGGATTGGAACAGCCATTTGGCTCAAGTCAATGGTAGGCTGCCTTGGCTTTGATTCCAACTTTTCCTTCACTGCTTTAAGAAAGGCAAAGCACAAAATCAACCTCTAATATATAAATTTTCATAATAAAATAAACCTACAATATAAATGTACTAGTTTAATTAAATATAATGAACACTATAGATGCAAACAAACTGATACAGGATAAAAAAGAAGAAATCAAGTTGATTCAAGGTAAGTGCTTTTCAATTACAAAACTTATTACAAAAGCCTGCTTAAGCAAAAAATCATCTCTGAAGTTATCCGAAACAATTTCATGGGTTTTCAGACCTGTTGTCTGCTGAAGTTCCAGCAAAGCTTTTATTGTGGACGTAGCTGACTGAGATTCACTGGATACATCCTGGTAAATTATTGTAGGGTTTGTGTCCACAGGAATTTCATGTTCTGACCAATCTTGACTTCTTGAAGCAATCACATGGACTACAGGCTGAGAATCTGTTTGCAAAAAAAACAAAGGCACATCATAAAATCATGGAATGGTTTGGGTTGGAAGAAACCTGAAAGCTCATCTCATTCCAACCCCCTGCCAAAGGCAGGGACACCTTTCACTAGACCTGGTTGCTCCAAGCCATGTCTGACCTGGCCGTGGACACTTTCAGGGACGAGGCAGCCATAGCCTCTCTGGGCAACCTGTGCCAGTTCAAGTCATCATAAAACCATTTTGGGCTGGAGGGCTTTCATCCAACTTCTTGCTATAAAGCAAGGTGATAATTCAAAATTATACCAAATTTCTCATTACTTATTAGCTTTGAACATTGCCAAGGATGCATACTCTCATTTTGCAACACTTTAGTTTCTATTTCAATTGATTCTTGAAGTAAATCACTGTTGATGTTATGAACAGTTTTCCAGCAAAAAACCAAAAGTTCTGTATCTTAGTTTTTTGTAAAAGATTTTGTTTGGAAAATCAAGCAGGTTTCTATGTATGTAGAATTTGCCTTGGATTGAACTTTTTTCCCAGAAGGTTTTAGCAGTTCAGGTGATCAGCATGTATTCAGCATTCTGAACTAACAGCACTTAAATTTTGGTAAGTCGGTTGAATCTTCAGAACTTTTTTAAAACTTACTTAGATGGCCACATAGACCAACAGTTACAAAATTATATAGAAAAGGTACAAAGGTTTTACTGAGAAACTTGCTTTAATTTGCTGTACTGATGCATACCATGGTCCCTCCCAAACACAGGTTGGATTTTGTTTATGCCCTATTATTTACTGCTCCTCTTACACATAAAGAGCTGCATCTGTATCATGGCTTGAAGCCAGGGCAGAATTCCCATCAGGACTGCATGTCTGATGTATGTCCTGATACATGTACACATCTATAAAAGGACCAAGATCTGTGCTGGTCCCATGGCATCTTTCAGACATGCAGCAGAGAGATTGTATTGCTTCAATACAATCTGGAAAGGCAGTGGCAGAGCGTGGACTGCCAAAATAACCTCCATAACTTGCTACCCTGCCTATCTCTGGCAGACTCTGCAGGAAGAGGGAACAGATTGCATTCTAACAGCAAGTTGGAGCCCAGCAAGACAACTTTATCACCACTTTTCAGGATTATTGAAAGCATAGTAAATAGCTCAAAAGAAAGAAAAATATAAAAGTATGGGAACAAGGGTGCTTCACTGCAAACACATGGGGTGAAACCTGTGCTAAAAGGAGACACAGGTTTCACATGGGGTGAAACCTGTGCTAAATGGAGCTCTCTGGAGCAAGCTGGCATGCTTGGAAGACAGTCCACTCAGACATTATGTGACACCAACACAGACCTTGAGAGCTCTGGGAAGACTCTGTAGAAGAAGAACTACTGTCAGTGTAGGTTTGTGGTTCTTCTTTCACTTCTGGGAGAGATGAGTTTCCTGTCTCTGCTACCCTTGAAGCCTGCTGTAACGTTTCAGTCACCAGCTGTCTGGTTTGTTCACTCACAACTGTTGCTTGAAATGTCACTGGCTTTGGTTTTATGAGGACCTAATTAGAAAGGTAAATTTTGTTTATAGTAAAAGCACTCAAGAAAACAGATCTGAGAAATCAGAGTACAGGGCATCACTCAGATCTATGTACACCACCTACATAATATTAATATTTTACTTAGAAAGTCTACCTCTAAATTCAGCAACTTTGATTATTAAACCAAAAAGTCCAAGTAAATGGCAATGCACAAGAATGTACTTCTCACTCACTAATTTGAAGTGTTTAACCCAATAAACCACTAAACAGTTATTTTTCAGGACTAGATAAAACTAGTGTGATAAGAGAAAGCTATGCAAGTGAGCTGGAACATGCACTGCACTGATAAGGACAAGCACTTCCACAATAAATACAGTCTTGAACAACCAAAACACACAAAATGTTACATCTCATAAAAGCTTAGTTCTTTCAAATACTAAGTGCAGCCAGAGAAAAAGCTGAAACTGAAAGCATCCAGAAATAAGCCAGATTCTCTGTATACAGCCCCACCAACTACACAAGGTTGCAGGGACAGCCAGAACAGGTATTAAGCAGAAAATAAACTTCAATAAAGCCTCAGATTTGATGAATGACCTATGTCCAGATTCTGCATGTTTATTTCTAATGGTCTAAGATGTAAACAAGTATCTGGAGCTATGGCCAGACAGTTTCAGCTCCAGAAAAGGCTTAGTAAATCCTTATGGCTTGCTCTAGGCCTTCACAAAAAGCTAACAAATGCAGATATTGTGCTTGAGAAATCAGGATCGAGGCCACCTCATTACACCACTAAGTCTCATTCCCCACAGATATATATTAAACCTGGAACAAATGAGGAAACACATTGAAAAATTATTTACTTCCCATTAAAATTTAGGGGTACATTCCAAAACAGAAAGGGGTCCTCACTGTACCTGTGTTTTCCCTTGTTGACCATAAACAATTTTAGTTGGGATGATTTTGGTGGCTGGCTGGACCGTGGACCCTATTCCTTTTGGCTGTGTAACAATCATTTTTGTGATGGGTCTTGTGGCAGTGATGATAGCAGGTTTTGCTCCTGCTGGCACTGCCTGAATAGTTTTCTCCCCCTGTAGAGAAGTCAAAGTTTACAGATTAACTTAATGGAATTGTTCAGTGAGACCCAATTTTCCAAAAAATATAGTTATATGTGAGTGTGTGTACCATGAAATAAATCTGCTGCTGCAACTACATTTATTTGATAGAAAATACATTAGATGACCAAGAACAAAAAAACCTACGGGTTTCAGTGGAAAAAGCTACCAAAATCCACTTTTCTATTACCTTATCTTTCAAGCAGCTCTGAAGGGGTGAATAAAAAGAAGTAACAAAAAGACATGAAGTTTTTAAAACTGGAACTTTCTTCAAATCCTTCACAAATGTTTTTTTAAGACCACCAATTTCTGTTAACACTAACTTTGGCAAGACATCTACAAAACTTGAACTGGGATTCTAAAACATTATTTAAATTGAGATTCTAAAAAAATCATTTAAATATACATTTTTTGCATTGTCTTCAAGACCAAGACATTAATTATGTATGGACTTTTTCAATTAAAAGTTCATAAAAAAATCCAGGTTCACAGGAATCATTTGACTACAGAATAGTGTTTACATCTGACTAGACTCCTGATAGCTTAAGAAGAGCAAAGACATTGAGCATGATTTTTTAAGCTCTGCACAGTAGCAAACCAAGTGAGTAGTACAGTAGTAGCCAGTTCCTACCAATATCCATGAAATAGCTGGAAATCCCCCAAACCATACTTGTTCCAAAAATACCATCCCATTTTGGTAGCTACTATTGTGTAACATCATAATATTTCCACTTGTCTGCAAATATACCTTTAATTCTAAAACTAGGGAAGTTCAAAACTTAAAAAAAAAAATCATAAAATATTTTAAAAAAATCTTTCAGCAGTTCTGCTACTCAAGCAGCCTTTTAAATTTTACAGGAATAAGGCATTAAATCTCTCAGTTTTATCTAGGAACATTGATAATTTTTATTTACTAGTACTTACAGATAAGCTCAGTTGATGCCAGAAACTTGATTTTATTCTTAGGTATACCTCAGGTTATCCAAAAAATAATTCACCACTATGCAGTACCCAGAGCACAGGATGCCACAATGTTACACACCACATTAACTGAAAGTGGTTCCCCTACTGCAGGGACACAATTTATTTCTGCCCTTTATACCCAAATGAAAAATGGCTGCAGATGCAAGTTATTAACACAGGACCCTGGTTCTCACTGGAGCAAACAGGCTAAATTATTCTAGTAATTTTCATCTACTTAATTGCTTCAGCAACACAAAATCATTATCCATGGGAAAAAAAGTTCTAAAATTTATATTTTCCTTTATCTTTGAAAACATCCCCAGTTTGCTTTAAGCGTGTTCTGCAAACCACAGTCAGTTTTTAAAGATCCCTGACATCAAGGCATGCCAGATCTGTTAAGGAGCTCATGCACAGTTTGCTTTTAATTGAGCCTTTAGCAGAATGGAGGACAAGCAGCAGCCACCACACAGCTTGTCACCAGGCTCTCTATCTGAGACTTGAAACAATTACTTACCCCAGCATTCAACAGTGTTGTGACAACATTTTTGCCTGGAAGCCCTTGAATTGTAGTTCCTTTCCCAGTAGTTTTTTGCACAACAATCACATTGGGTTTCGATGTCATTGGAATTGTAGTGATTTTGGTCGTAGTTCCTAAATTTTTGTGGGAAACAAAATAATGTGCAGTTTATCACATTTTGTGTATTTCCTTCCACCACAGAAGATAGTGAGCTATAGAGGAATCATTGTATTTAAATCTGACAGCACATCAAGAAACCAGTAGCATCTGGAGTGGGAATTCATGTTACCCAACTCAGCATTGAATGATTACATGCCAACTCAACAAATCTTTCACCTACAGTAAAAACAGGTGTGCCCAGGGGAACAGAATGTATTTTACATTAGGACAGGCAACCCCTTCTCACAAGTTACAGAGCAGACTAACACAGCTTTCTCAGGCAAACGTGAACTTTTCAAAGGCGGGAGTTAGGGCGGGACAAGGACATCATTAATACTCAACTCAAGCTCCTATTTGTACAGACAAATACTCTTCTACAGATGACCTCTGCAGAAGAATCTATGTACCAAGGATGTATCTCCAGTTAGTTGTTTTGGGGTTTTTTTGTCTTGTTTTGGGGATTTTTTCTGTGGGTTTGTTTGTTTTTTGAAGAGCTGACCTGGCTATTTCTGTTCCTATGTTAGTATTGAATTAGTTCCACTCCCTTTATCAGGATTTTAGTTACCTGCACTGACAGGTAATTCTGGTCAGACTTCCACAGTCCACAGAAGTCCATACACTGGAATCAGTCATCAGTGCTATCACACTGCCATTGCAGTAGCTACTCAGCTTTTTATCAACAATTTCTCCTTTCTCCAGAGGAAAGCACCATTCAGTCACAACAGAGCTGCAAACCCAAGGATTCCCTTTACTACCTTTACTACAACTACCCACTAGTCATGCCTGTAGATTCTTCACAACCTATTTCAGATTAACAATTCTACCAATTCTGGGAAAGGAAGACATGCTGAGACAAGATTATGATTTATTTAATCCTACTGACTTCAGAGGCATCTAAAGGATTCCTCCCTTAGTAAAAACAATTAAGCAAACAAAAAAACAAAAGCAGGCATGATTTCCAAACTTGTGTTCTTATTATTCTTATCACGATCACTCACAGGTTTCCCCACATTAGCTGCTGCTCAGGAGAATACTTCCACTTGTGTATAATTCATTACAAGTGTATGATACAAGAAATTGTCTTAATAATTCACCATACCCACAACAGGCTAAAAAAAGTTACTTGTTGCCAAAGAAGATGCTGTATCATCACTAAATATAATTTTGTGGAAATCAAAACCTGTAAAACTGCTCTACCAGATTACAGGCCAAGAGTGCATTTACTGGATGGCTTGCGCAGCACCTTGCAGTGACTGGAGCTGGCTGGTGCCATGTCATGTCTTCGCTAAACAAAGTCCTAAACATATACAAGAAATTGCCACTGGCATCAGTGTGCTTGGTCCTGGTCCTAAAGAAACCTTATCTTCAGAGATGATGGAACCACCAAATGTTTTGGGTTGGAAGGGACCTAGAAGCTCATCCAGTTCCACTCCTGTCAAGGGCAGGGACATTTTTCACTACACCAGTGCTCCAGGCCCCATCCAAGCCGGCCTTGAACACTTCCAGGGCTGAGGGAGCCACAGCTTCTCTGGGCAACCTGTACAAGCACATAACCAGCAGGGAGACCAATGGCTAACCAGCAGACTAACAAAGACAACCAGCACTGTCTGCATAAAGCTGGGAGGGAAAGCTTAAGGCAGAACATGGCCTAAAGGAAAGACAGACTGCCACTGGCAAAATACCAAAGTAAGGTGGAGACTGCAAGGCTGAATTTAACATACACAGTCCATTTTTATTCTGGTCTTTTGGATATGCAGTGGAACAGAGAAAGGCAGCACTGAGATTATAAAATGTTTTGAATTTGGGCCAATGCGTTTTCTGATCTTTCTATCCTCTGTATGTACAACATACTAGTTCCCACCCCACATTTTCTTTCCTCCCAGTTTTCCTTCACATTTGCTGTTTCCTTCTTAAACACAAAAACTACCACAATCCTTAAGAACACTCCACCTTCAAACTTCTACCTTTTACCTTCTTCTTCATGCTCAGCTATTTTCCTTCTGAATTCTCCAATAAAGGTTCTAATAACTATTTGAGCATGCAACCCACAGAAAAGCCCTGAACAATCTGATCAAGCCCAAAGTTACTTTTGAAATAAAAGCCTTACAAGTAACAACAGTACTCATATGCCTACCAGAAACAATATTACTGCTGATGATCTTTCCTCCTAGAGTAGCCAGGGATTTTGGTACTACAGTAATGATGCTGCCACTTGTAGTTTTCACATAAGTAGCAGCCCCTGGAGTTCCAGCCATCCGAGCTCCCAGAGAGGGGCTCACTGTTGGCCGTGTATAAGTTGCTTGAGTTCCTGTTTTAAAGAGAGAGAAAAAAAAAGTTCACTATTACAACACAATCCTCTACTAATGTTTCTGGAAAAATATGTTAGTTTAGGAGAAAAGTGTCAGATTTATTTGAAGATATCCCAGCCTGCAATCTACTACCACCCTTTAAAACTCTTCTAGTAATTTTTAAATCCACAGAGCAATATTCAAGTATATACTAAATTTAAATTGAATATAACAGTCTTCTGTGTATTTTAACAAATGTTCCATGACTGCCTTATTTTAATTCATGTCTTTGCGTGTAAGACTGTAATTTTTAATAGATGTGCAGATTCTGCCTGTAGGTTTGCCTGTTGCTCCCAGGAGTCAGGCATCTGATGACATGACCAGAACACATCCCTTCCTCTCAGGAATGACACTTCTCCTATATGATAGATTGCTTATAAAGAGAACCACCAATCATTAGTTTAAGTAACACTCTTAGAAAAAATATTATTTACAATGATGATGCTATTTTATGGACTTAGCACACAGCAGCACAAAAGAAACCTTTCAACACAGTATAAATGCTGATTTTAGAACTAGTCCTTTTCTGAATACAAAGACAACTGAGTCCACAAAAGAAACTTGTTCAAAAATAACAACACAAACACTGAAATTCCATTTTGCTTGTAATACTGCAGATAGTGTCCTTAATTGCTGAAAATCAAAGAGGAAACAGTTTGTTTCATCCAGAAAGATGTGTTCACATTCAAGAGAGCACAGTACAGATTTTACCAACTACATGAACAGCAAAATATTTGTATTTTTCTAATGCACTTAAAAATCTATCTGTGGAGTACTTTAAAAGTTATAAACAGAGTATTAACCATTAGTTTATGCTAAGGACATGAGGAGATGGCCTCAAGTTGCACCAGGAAAGGTTCAGGTAGGATATTATGAAAAAATTGCTCATGGGCAGGGTGGTCAGATATTGGAACAAGCTGCACAGGAAAGTGGTGGAATCAACATCCCTGGAAGCATTCAAAAGCCATGTGGATTGTGGCACTTGGAACAAGGTTTTTAGTGGTGAACATGGTGGTGCTGGGCTAATGGTCAGACTTGATGATTTTAGAGGGCTTTTCCAACCATAACGATTTCATGGTTCTAATATTCCCAGCCCATGCTAAAAAAATAAGGAAATGAAGAGTTTTCTGAAAACCAGGATAAAGCTACCTTTTAAGTTTTCCTCATGCAAGTTTACAATCAGAACAGTCTGCATTATTATCTATTAGAAACAGAAATACAACCAGATGCTCAGAAAAACACCAGGAGCTTAAATTTTAATTTACTGGTCTTTTTATAAATTCACTGCAGGACTATGAGCAAGTCACATTTCTTTTGAAGTCCATCCATGCAAAACAGGAATGGTGCTGACCTGTCTGCTTGAGTTAAATCAGTATAAATCATGTCATATAAGGTACTACAGAAGTGCAAAGTATCTGTATAGACTGCATAAAAACTTCCTTTAAAATAAACCCAGTGGGGAAGGAACAATGGTATTTTTATACCAATTCCAACAGTGGAATAAAAGAGCACTCAGTGGAAAAATCCTGATGTAGAATAAATAACAACAGGATTGTGAATGTGCTGTTGTGCCCACTGTTCAGAAGAGGTAAGTGCCTTTTTTTAACCCTAGGAAACCATGCTTGATCACCTGTATGTCTGGATTTACCCTCCCTTCCCTTCTCAGAGCCATAACTTACCAGTGGGAGTAGTGACCAGTTTAGTTGTCATGATAGTCCCATTACTGCTAACCACCATAATGGGTGAATTGCTACTGCTGGGCAAGGTCGCTGTAACTGGTTTGGGAAGGATTTTACTGGGCTGCACCTGTTGAGTGATTATTTTAACACCTAGGAAAGGAGAAAGGTCACTGTTAAAATACAGGCACGATAAGTTACTTTCTGAAATGCTTTCTCAGACCAAGGCCTAGTGGTCAAGTAGCCCCACAAGGCTTCAATTCTGAGCCCATATATTCTTGATAATGAAAAAAATTATTTAATTTTTTAGTTTTTGTTTTTTTTTTTTTTGCTTAGTTTTGGTTGGGTTTCGGTTGTTTTGCAACACCAAGAAAGTCATCATCTTTGCCTTTCATGTGCCTGTTTCAGTTCTTAGCTTCTTCCACTGTCCATTCCATCACTGATTTGTTGATGTTATTTTTTATTTTTCCTGGTACATGATACAAAAAACCAGAACTTTCCCAGGAGCCAACAGGTTACAACCAAGACTGAATAGGTTCATATACAATGAACCATCTAGAAGCAAAGTTAATTCTTCATCAATTCAGTCTAAAAATCCTAATGTGTCATAAGCCTAGACAAACTTTTCCATCGTGAACTAATTAAAAAACATTTCTGCACAAGGAGTATTAGTGACTATAAGGAAGCAACTATGACACTGGCTAGGGAAGGTTACTTTTAGTAAACTGCTCACTTTCCCCTTGATTTCCTGGTTATCTTAAAGCCACAAAGAAATTTGGCTTAAGCTACAAGTAGATCAGTAAGACTGGAGGATGAGGGCACCTTAATGCCTCCAGGATTCTGCTCCCTTTCTCTTCATTTTATTTTGGGGAATGGTACCTCTGTGAGATTCACCTCTCAGTTGCAAACCAGTGGATTGACAACATCTGTTCAAAAGTACATCCAGGAGATGTGGATCTTATGATCTGTTCCATGATGAGGTAAAGGCATGGCATTGTGGCGGCCAAATGCCATGGAACATAGAGCCTGAATGAATCCCGTCTAGATAAAGCATTTAGGTTTGTACACAAGTATTCCTAGGTGAAAAGTCTTGTTCATTTGAGACATGGAACATCCTCCAGAGATGTTTTCTTCTCTCTACACTAACTATAAAAGCAGTACAGAGCAAGTAAGCTCCAAACTGAAAGAGAATTTGAAGTCTCTGTATCATCCAAAGAGTAAAGTCTCCCTGAAAACTGATTCACATCTTCCAGAAAGAATTGGTATCAGATTTCCAAAGAAACTTTCAACTAAAAAGCACAATGAGCCTAAATTCATTGTAGAAGATGAAGAAAATGAAACTCTTGATATTGTTCAGTGTCTGGAAGCCTTTTTTATCTCTTAATTAGCAGCTATTAATTTTCTTAAGCAACGATCCTATAATCCAAAAGGTAGTTTTATCAAAGGACAGGAGTAGGTAGCTTTATCAAAGGACTAGGGGTTTTATCAAAGGAGTAGGGCTGTTTATTTTTTCATTCCATGGTCTAATCTAATTGTTTGATCTAAAACAGAATTTTACTGACAGGATTAAAATAAAATACTGATTTTATATTAATAGACATTAAAATACTTTGCACTTTTATAGCACTTATTTGAGAACTGGTTAATTTTGCAAACTTAATTTCTTACTACTTCTTGCTGAGATAAAAACTGTGTGCTAAAGTAGAGAAAAGCCAAAAAAGAAAGATAATGTGACTTGCCCAAAGTCAGCTGAATGAATCAATATCACAAAGAGAATCCAGTCTAACTTCCAGATCTAACTGTATTTGTTTTGACAAGTACCTCAAAAGTACGTTTTGATTTCTGGACCAAAGAAAATAATTAAAACATGGAGTAACTTCTTTTTCCAGGTGATACAGTTGAACAACTCTTGGATCTTCAGAAAACTGGTGTGTTTCAGGTTGCCAATCACATTATTTTAGAAGTTATTTACAAACCTCTCAATGTCTAAGATAAAAACACATATACCTAAAGCATGGTCTGTAATACCTGAACCAAACAAGAAGAGTGAAAGAACCAAATTCTTTAATTAGTGTTACTTGAAAACATTAAAACATCCTTCACTATGTACTTATATTCATGTTTGAAGCCAAATCCTGTACTCAAGAATCATACACCTTCATGACCACTCCCCCATAAACATTTTGGGGCAGAATTCTGCCCTCCTTCCCTGAGTTGCAGCCAGACCTCACCAATGTGACCCAAGATCAACTCCAACTACCTGATTCCTGTTTGATCTGAATGGTGGGCTTGATGCCAGCTGGCAGCTGAGACTGCTGTGGCTGCTGCTGGGCTGCAGAACATGGCACCAGCTGCTGCTGCTGTGGCTGCTGCTGCTGGGCCTGCTGGACTTGGTGCAGCTGCTGTTTGGGAGATTGCTGATGCTGTTTGGGAAACTGTGCTAAGATCTGAGTTGGATTCCCAACCAAACCTTTTGGGGAAGGTAGTCTGGTAGAGGCAACTTTAACTGCTGATGTAGACACACCTGTGAAAGAGTAAAGGGTTTAAGATTCACCAGTGCAATGAGAAAGAAAAATACTATAATTTCTAAAATAAACTTACATTTCAATTATCTTTACTACTGAAAAATACATTGATATATGTGAGGAAATAAAGCTCCCATGCAGCAGAAATACTCTGTTAGGAGGAAATGGAACTTCATGCAGATTTTCAATGTGGCAGCAGAACAGCAGCTAATGGAAAGACCACAAACCCAGTTTACTTCTGCACCTTTTGTAATATACATAATTCAGTAATATTTTCAAAGTCTCATCTTTAAGCTTCAAGACAGCAAAATGCCTATAGTGAAAGTATTTTAAATATAGATATATTTGTATTTATAAATATTTATAACAATCTTTTTTAGTAGAAGGTGTTTTGGCCTCTGGCAGGGGGGGCTTTAAGGGAGCTAGATCTTTAAGGTCCCTTTCAATACAAAATATTCTGTGATTCAATGATTCCAAAATCACAACTGCAAGAAGCTGGCGTTAGGACAATGCCAAATATCAAACCCATCAACACTGGAAGGGAGTATGTGCTAGCAAAAGAGTTGTTTGGAATTTTAAAAAAATCAAGTGACTGTATGTAAGTTATAAAACTGTGGGCCATCTGTTTTGTGGCCCACCGCTTAGGCGTTCTGATAAGCAGAAGTGATTAAAAGAAGCCTGCAGTAAGATGGAAAGACAAAGTTCCCAAATAAATCTTCTTACTTATTTCTGTCATTCCTTACATAGCTGTCACAACATTTACAGCAAAATCTGACTTTGTATATAATTCCAAACTACACATCCATAAACACCAAAACAGACAAACAAAGTCCATATCTTATGAAGTAATTTTTTAACTAAATCCCAGTTGCAGTACAAACAAACAGATGGCAGTGATAATGACAGAAATCATAGTAAAAGTACAATTCTGGCAATCTAAATAAGCAACCCTTTTCTCACAGCATCATTTAAGGTGACTTACACCACTTCCTTGGGCAGCTCTTTTCATTCATGAGTTTAACTTAACATTTGAAAATATTACCAGTTCATGTCACACAACTTTTCAGAAGCACCTTCTGCAATGCCACTGATAGTCTTGGAAAAAACTGTTGGAGAGATACTCCACCTAATGTACTTTAGAATTAAAGCCTCCTCCATGACCAAACCCAACTAAGAACCAACAGTTCAAACAATATGAAAGCCTGCTGTGAGCCCGTCTGCTCCACAGATTAATATCTGATTATATTAATACAAGCAATAAGGAAGGAAAATACCTCCTCAGCCTTGATATGGCAACCCAGTGTTTCATGGAATGAAGCAAGAATGGAAAATACAGACCAGGAAAAATTGTGATGTGACACTTGTTATTGTCAGGCAGTTTTTCTTTCAAGTGCTGCTCACTAAGGCTCATTCATTCATAGCTTCCCTTTTAAATGCTAGCTGGTGGCTGTGAAGCTGAAACAGTCAAGCTAGCATACACAGCTGGAATTTGAAATGAGAAACCTAAGAATTTTCATCAGGCCTACTCAGGTCTTAATTGTAAAGGACTTTAAAGCTGGCATGCTGTTAAAAGACACTGATAAAAGGTGAAATATTTGCACCGCTAAAAAGGTGCAAATATTTCTCTACCTTTCAGAATTGTCACCTGGGCATGTTAATAAGTTGTATTTACTTGATGTTAAGTTGGCATGTTTTTGTAAATTGGGCTTTTAAAGATGCAATCACCCTCAAGTATTGAAAATGTACATTTTTCTATGCACCAGACAAAGTTCTTGAAGCCAGCCATTTTGAGGTTATATTGTTTTAGAGCTAGATCACACCACCACATCACACTCTCTTTAGAAGGAGGATCTGCACATTAACTGTTGAAGTACAGAGGAAAACAGTTCAACAAGAACTTTTGTGGAGCCTCTTGCATTGGTTTCATCAGCAGATTTCTTTCACATGTCCTGTGAAAGAAAGCATCAGACATCTTTCAGATGTCCTGTGCTTTATTCATACATAAACAAAAAGTGCATCTCCCTAACGCTATTCTCAACGCAAAGTCCAACCTCTCAGTGAAAGAGCCTTGATTAGAGAATTGCCATACCTTGTGCTACTGTTGACATAACCACTGAGGGTGTGGATGACACTACAGCAGTCACAGCAATGGTATTTGCAGTGCAGGAGGGAGTGGAGCAGCTGCTGCTGCTGCTGCCCACAGAGGACTGGGAAGCAGTGATGACCACGGGCTGCTTTTGTGTAGTTGAGGCAATGACTGATGTTGGGACAAGTTTTGTAACTGCTGCATAGTTGTGGGACTTGGAAAGGATGTTGGGTACAAAAGTTGAGCTTGGAGAGGTGGTTACTATTATGACCTAAAAAAAGAAAAGAAAAAAACAAGAAGAAATTCATTTGTTCTTTGCATCTATATTTCAGTAACATGTCTGTCTATTTAGTTTTAGGGATACATGTTTATTAAGAGCTTTTAAAATTGTCAATCACATTTTCTCACAAGAAATATTTCAACTATTTTGAAGACGTGGTGATAAACGTTTCCTTAAAATTAGGATTTTTAAGGAAAACAATTACTATTGAATAAAGCAAAATTATCTCATGCCTGAAGGCAAACAGACAGGAATGAACTTGACTTCATTAAACTGGGCCAGGAAGCTTGAAATCCATTTTAAGAGAAACTGAATGGATTTCCAGCAAGTTTTAAGTGTCACTCTTCCAAACCTTGCAAAAATATCAAGAAACAGCAATGAGAGAATACAGATTTTTCTTTCTTTAACAATTAACAAGCACTTGCTGAGTCAGTAATGGGAAATGCTTTTGATCTACAAGGCTGCAAATAATATTTCATCAGTGAAAGAAAAATGCTGCAGTATTGAAGCAATTTCTGCTTTACTTAGTGCTCTCAATAGCAAGCAATTATTTCAGATTTGTCTGAAGAAAATAAACACCACCCCAGTGCAAGTTACAACTACAACTCCATTAATCTGATCTGACATAGAAAAACACAGAATTCATGACATCATTGGAAGAAGTCTGTCCTGGTGCAACTCGCCTAGGAAACTAAACATTTATTAAGTATTGAATATGGGGAGTGTTTACATAAAAAAATTCCTTTTATTTAACTTATATGTCCCTCCTTGTACTTACATAGTTAAAATAGAAAAAGAAACACAAAAATACAACACTTTCAACTTATCATGCAAGAATATTGAGCAATTACTTTAATAATGCTTTTGTCCCAAGAAAAAATTTGTTTATTAAAACCTTGAAAATTTCAACTTGTTAATGATTCAATGTAACAAAAGCTGATAGAAAAAGAAGGCATAAAAGGGGCAAAGAAAACCTGTGTCAGCTCACACAGTCTTACATTGACAGCCAAGCACCACTGAAACCTTGCCTGATAAAGAAATAATATGACAATGGCACCAGAAACAGACTTAAGCAACAAATCAAGCATCAAGAGATTGCAAGTTTATAATCTGCTTAAAGAAAAATAAGAAAAGAAAAAATAAATAAAAGGGAAATAGCCACATGGATGGAATAAAAGCAGCAAATTTCACCAATATGGCTGGTTCAGCCTCTCCTTTTGCCCCAGCTCAAAGTTTGATAGTCTCTGCTGCTCAGATAAATCTTTAATATCTTGATCTGAGGAAAATCAAAACCTTACTATCCTGCAAGGTATAGCAGCTTGACCACAACTAACGTGTGTCTGAAGGACAAGGTTTCTACATTCTGCTGCTTTTCTACTTGATTGCATTCCCCAGTGAGAACATTTCTCTGCATCAAGTCTTATTTTTGCATTCTGCCTGATTTTGATTTAATCAAAACACCTTTCTCAAATTGCTCTTTGGCTACAAACATGCAGATGAGCTGAACATGACACAGCTTGTTCTAGTGTGAGAATTAGAAGTGAAAGAATTCAATTATATGCCTCTGGAGTTTCATCCTGTTTCCTAAACTCTCAGTTTACACTAGGAATACTTCCAACTGCCTGAAATTTAGGGTCAGCTCCATTCCACCCACAGTAACTAGTTTAGGAACACAGTCAAAGGACAGCTTGCAGTTTAAAAAGGCAGATTATAGGTTAGAGTGAATATGAACTACATTACAACAGGGCAAGTTCAGCATCAAAACTAATACAGATATGTAGAATGAAACTGGGCATAATCACAGCTCCTGTAGACAATTGCATTTCTTTAAGTCCATGATTACCACTCAAAAATGCTTTATTCAATCAAGGAAGGAACAAAGCCTCCAAAGCATTACAGTTCAACAGTGACTGCTATACTGTGACTAAGCAGGTTTGTGTCTGTCTATTCTACCTCATCTTTCAAAATTAACAGAGCAGAGCAAAGTTCAGTACCTTCTGTGTTGTGGTGTTTGTTGTCTGTGTTGAGGGCTTAGTGAAGGTTATTTTCACATGCATGAAGTATATCCAGAAAACAAAATTCAGGTAAAAATGTAAGTGTTAAAGTTCAAATCACAACCACTGTATTTCTGAAATATTATTCTGTCATATATGTTGAAAGGATCAAAAGAATCTCATCATGGGTACCAAAACTGCATCCCATGTTTTACAGCAGAGACACTGACTGACTTTAAACATACACACACACAGAGAAATCAAGGTGTTAATTTTGCTGTTGATGGTTCTAGTTGTTACAGTAAAATCTAATTTCCAACATATACTGAATTTAGTCCTGTCAGCTGTATTTTGAGATATGTCAAAACTTAGTCCCTGAAAAAATAAGGTTAATATAACTGCCAGAAACTTCACTGGCTAGATTCCCTCCATGTCCTACACAGGTGATTTTATTACAAGAGAATCCAGAAACTGGAGCTGTGACATTGTTAGTTGTTATGACAGATCTTCCTCCAACCTACTAAAATGTCAAAACAATTCAAAGAGGTGGCATGCAGAAACAAAGCATTTCATTCATATCTAACAACTTACACTCAAATTGGAAATAGCCTGTTGGATATGAATCAACTGAACTGACTTTTAATTTAAAACTACTAAAGGGGATTTCTCCCACCAAAATCATGCAGTTATGTATTTTGGCATATCTAAATCCAACAGAAGAGGGCACTGTGACAAGTTCAGATACAAATGCTACTCTGGCTAACAAAACAAGCACTGATTTTCCTGTCACTGCAGATTAGTAAGACAGTCAAATAATAGAATGCAAAGTGAACTCTAAAATGTCCAAGTCAGAACAAGTGGAGAGGCATAACTGTAGTAAAGGTCCTACCAACAGTCCACTCTTCTTAGTACACTCCATCTTTAACTTCCACAATATAACACACCCATGCTTAATACAACCCTACAGATGTTTAAGGCAAAAAATTATTCCGGCACTAATTATGACCTTAATGTGCAACAGGATGGATGGGTTAAGCCCTGTAGTAGCTGTTGACTTGCTGCACTGAATTTAATTTGATGGTTTATGCTCACACATGGATTTCCCCAATACACTCATGTATTCAGGGATGAAATTTGATTAAGGACACTGTTAAAGAACAGTGAATCAAATGAAAGCATCTTCCTTGGAGTGGGAAGAGGTCAGAAAGCCAATATCTTTATTGCACATTGCTTGGTTTTAAAGTTTCCAAAAATCAAGACATGGGAACTCTGCTGATCCAAAAAGAGTCATAAAGCAATTAAGAAGAATAATGGGACAAATGCAATGCAAAGGTTTGAGCTCAATAGTCAAACTCTCACCATTGGAAAAAATGCTTGTTAGTGGCCAGCCTAGCATAAGTCTGCTGGTATTGAGGCAAAATTAATTCCACAGAGACTCTACACCTTCCTGAAGTCTGCTGTACCAAACAACTGTACCAAGAATGAACTTGGTCTGAACCATTCATTTTTTTAAAATCTTAAAAACAGAAAAATAGACACAACTGAAATGCTTCCTAAAGAATGGTAATACAGTCATGCCATAGATTAGGTACTTTAAAATCTAAGTCCAGTACAAAATTTAAACAAGGAAAGCCTTTTCTGCACTTTGCATTGTGGTGAAAGCTAGGCACACTCAGCTGAAATAATGCAACTGATTTTGACCACTGTAACACTGTTAATGTAGAATGAGAAATGGCTACTAGTACTGAAGGAAAATAAAGCCCCTGGACTTTGACCAGCTCCAAGAATAAGCATTATAGAGCCCAAAACACTAGTCTCTAGATAAAAGGCTTGGCAAAGCCCATGCCACCTCTCCTGGAATTCTACTACTGCAAAGAGTAATTATAAATAAGGAAAATAGAAATAAGAAAGATTACCTTTGACCAACAGTTGTTACCATCTGAAGGCTGTTCAGTGGCCTATGTGATCCAGTTCTCAGTGGACTAGTGTCCATATCACAAAACCCAACACCACAAATGGTACTAACTGGTAACCTTGTTGGCAGTCTCACCAGACAGGCCAAGAATTGAATGAGCATGGAGACTGAATCCCCTCTCATCCCTAGAAGTGGTCCCTTCAGGTCAGGGTTGAGGCACATTGGTGGGGCAGTCTGGGGGAAGCTTGCACTCCCGCTGCCTGTGCTGTACCTGTTCTGTGGATAAAAAGAGGGCTTCAGTCTCCAAGGCTGTCAATCCAGGTCCTTTCACACACAGGTGAACTAAATTCATACAAGAGTTTGGTTTTCCCTTTGCTCGTTTTAAAGAGGGATCACCTCATCCCAAGCGCAATCCTTATAACACAGCTAGTCAGACCACAGAAAGGAAGAGTCAAACATCACATCTTATTCATTGATAAAACCAGAATAAAGGAACATTTGGCAGCTTCTCCCACATACCTTCTGTGTTGTGGTGTTTGTTGTCTGTGTTGAGGGCTTAGTGAAGGTTATTTTCACAGGCGACATGTGTGGTGGTAAGGAGTTGGCAATGCTCTGCATTATATTACTCATTTTGGGGCTCCCACTTACAGGCACTGTGATAGTTTTAGTGACAGGAGTCACTGCCTTCGGGACTTCTTTCAGGAGAACAGGGGAAGAACTAGAGGAATTCGTTCGCCGTCTTTTGCGGGGCTTTTCATCGTCATCTGAGCAGCTGACACCTGGAAAAGAAACACTTTCTCTAAATTGTGTTCCCCCTGTCTGCAGATCTCAGTGCTCTCTGAAACACTACATCCTTTTTGAGTCTTACACCCTCTTTCAAGTAAGATAAAAAGAAATAAAGGATAAATTACATCTTATGGTCACAACCAAGCTGTATCACACCTCAGATGCTCTTAGTCCTTGATATGGGTCACACTCAGTGCCATGAATTGGGGACAAATCACCCAAAACCCCAAGCTACTCAGTTACTGGGTTACTTCATTCAGTTTGAGAGATTAAAAGAACATAGGAGCCAGTACAGGGCTTTCATTCTGCCTACAGAAGTTTGATCAGTGAAGCTACACACATGAGGGGATTGGGATCATGTCACACACATTTTAGTTTAAACTTTTACACTGCTTTGGGGTTTTTTTGGTGGTGGTTTTGTTTACAGCAACTGGACTATTGAATTTATCCCCCTATAGTTTCCTTAGACTTCAGCCTTTGCACCTACTTTTGTGTCATGTTTACCCTTACAGTACCCTTCTGCCTTCCACCTTAATACAGCATCTTGAGATATAATTCTTTTTTTTATTATCTAGTTTAACTGTAAAGGTCAATCCTCAGTTCATCAGCTTTTGCCTTCTTTGGTGCATTTTGTGCAAGAGATATAAAATGGGGCCTAGCACACAATAATGAAAAACAAAAGAAATCCAAGCTCATAAGAGTTCTTTCTTCTTCACAATCATATACTGCACACATAGGAAAAAAAATCTGCTGCAATATTCAGTTCAGGAAAGGATAACAGCATGATTAATGGATCTCAAATCCAAATGAAACTTGCAAAAGTAAGCAACAGATTCATAAACTATGGAAAGGCACAGGTGTCACGGACATATTTTATGAAAAATCCTTTTGCTAGGATCTTCTCTCCTGAGAAACTAAGAAGCCTCAGAGGAAAAGAAAAAACAATAATTATCTGCTGCTATGGAATGCAACAGGTGCATCTTTGATTGGTCTCGTGATTGTTTGGTTCTAATTAATGGCCAATCACAGTCTGGCTGTCTCAGACTCTCTGGTCAGTCACAAGATTTTATTATCATTCCATTCTTTTCTATTCCTTGCTAGCCTTCTGATGAAATCCTTTCTTCTATTCTTTTTGTATAGTTTTAATATAATACATATCATAAAATAATAAATCAGTGTTCTGAAACATGGAGCCAAGATTCTTGTCTCTTCCCTCGTCCTGGGACCCCTGTGAACACCACCACACACAGGTTAGTGACTTTGCAAACCTCTCACAGCTACCTGGTAGCACTGAAGGCAGGAAGGCTCTATAGAAGGATCTGAACAAGCTGGATCCATGGGCTGAGGTTCAGCAAGCCCAAGTGCCAGGTCCTGCCCTTGGATCACAACCATCTCATGCAGAGCTACAGGCTGGGGGCAGAGTGGCTTAAGGGTGGCCAGGCAGGAAGGGACGTGGGGATGCTGGCCAAAGCTGTCTGGATATGAGCCAGGTGTGCCCAGGTGGGCAAGGACAGTGGCACCTGGCCTGTATCAGCACTGGTGTGGCAGCAGGACCAGGGCAGTGACCATTCCCCATGCTGGGAATTGCTGAAGTACCTCCAGTCCTGGGGTCACTTCTGGGCACCTCCTGACAAGAGAGACACTGGGGTGCTGGAGCACTGCCAGAGAAGGGAACAGAGCTGGGGAAGGGTCTGGAGCAGCTGGAGCAGCTGAGGAAGCTGGGGGGACTCAGACTGGAGAAAAGGAGGTTATGGGGGGACATTTGTGCTCTCAACAACTCCCTGACAGGAGGGTGAGCCACATGGGGGCTGGACTCTTCTCCCAGGTAACCAAGTGAGAGGACAAGAGGACATAACATCAAATTGTGCCAGGGGAGGTCCAGATTAGGTATTAGAAAAAGAAAAACCTCACTGGAAGAGTGGTGAGGCATTGGAATAAGTTGCTTGGGGGGGACAACAGTCTGGAAGTGTTCAGGAGGTATCTGAATGAAAGACTTGGGGATGTATGTATGATGGTGCTGGGTTGATGGTTGGACTAGATGATCTTGAAGGTCTCTTCCAACCTTGACAAATCTTCAGTCCTGTTATTTATGTTTACCATTCTAACCTCTGTCAAACCATTTAAAAAGAAAAACAATCAGAGAGAAGCTGAACAGATACAATCTTGCCTATGCAAAAGATGACTGAAAATCTTGTTCCATGTGCCTGGAGCTTAAAGACAAAGAACACCACCACAGCAAAAAGCAGTCTTGCACGTAATCAAAGCAAACTTGATTGGCAGTCAATCTCTAGGGCCAAGATCTAATTATGGCCAATCTGTAATTAACATTAATATTCTGGCATTCAGAAAGTGAAGATGCAAGAACTAACATGGACACGAAACTGCCCAGGACCACAACAGGCAATTGTGGAAAAATGGTATTCTCTCTCAGCAGGAGTAACAGCTCATTTGCAGATACCTGTCCAAAGGCTGACAACTGTATCTACAGAGACACAAAACTGAACTGGGGAGGAGAAGCAAACTTCAAAAATGTAGCTTTAGCTGGCTGTAGCAGTACAAGTGAAGTCTGGATCTATAAAACCAGATTTCAAATCAATATATTCTATCCTATTCTCAATCAATCAAATATTCTAATCAATAATTTACCCTATGCCCCTGAATAAGCCTAGTGGTGACCTCCCTGTATAAAGCAGAGGTTTGATTACATAACTTTAAAGTTTATTACGGACAGGCTTCTAAGTATTACTGTGAGTGCACTATAGAAACTTGTAACTATGAGTGCACTAATCACATTGAATGTGTGCAGTCATTTAAAAATCTCAGAATCTATTTAAATCCAAAATCCACATGCAGCTAGCATGCTAGGACACAGTTGTTATTTTGGTGGGGCACCAAGAAATAGAGAAAACTTTGTGGTCCTCATCCACAAAAAAAACCATCAACCAACCCATCAAGACATAAGAAATTAACATTAAACTAGCAGAGCATTATTTTATATTAAGTACACATCATTTCACCTCCTCTTTTCACTGCTGGGGTTTTGTACGAATATTATTCTTATAATTTCATGTTATAAATTGCTGTACAAGGTTTTCCACAGACATTCAGCTTTGACTGTAACTCACACTTGGTAAGTAAGGAAGCAGAGTCATGGAAAGGTTAATGGCTCAGTCAGACTGACTTTTGGAAGAGTTTACACCACAGACCAGTGGCAAAGTCCTGACTGTAACTCAGATCTCCCAAAGCTGCTCCTAAGCAGGTTTGTTAAAATCAATGTGACTGATGTAACATATTCTGAAAGACACACAATTCCTTAAAAAAAAATAAAAACAATAACAACAAAACAAAGCACATGAAGTAGGGGGAAAAAATTAAATCTAGGGACAGACAATGAAAATGATCATCCCTGTATCATGTGTCTAGACTTATTTGATATTCATTATCATGTATTAATTCAATAAAGCCTACATTAAAATTTTTAGATGTTAAGAATGTTTTCCCCTGAATCTTCAAACTAAACTCAAGTGATTAGTGCATAGATCAGAAAAATGAAAAATGTAATGGGTTTCATGAGTTGACAGAGCCATTAACAATGTTTTTTTTTGCAAGTAACATTATATTTATGTACTAAGTGGCATTTCTGATTAGCTAGAAACTTATACAGATGTATACATATAGCATAAAGATAATAATTTTTAATAATTAAATATTTTAAAATATTAAAGGTATACAGAGCAAGCATAAAAATAGCATTTATCTACTTCTAGATAACATTTATCTACTATTAATCTTTACTTGTTGTATTGAGAGAACCAAATAAGAACTGAAGGAAACATTTAATAGTAAAATAAAGGTACACATGATGAGGGCATATATATGAGAATAAAATCTGCTTTTAGAACTAGCTGACTTACTACCCAAACAAGATGGGGACACATACACCCTCTGAAGAAAAAAGACCTTTTCTAGATTCTATGTCCTGGATTTCCAGATTTAATTACATGAAGATGGGTCTCTGGTAAGAATTCGTATGAAGTTTTTGCAGCTGCCAAGGAACACAAGCTTCACTGAGACTGACTTCCAGGTAAATCACAAAATGGCCAGACATACTATGGAAGCATAAACCCCTGCCAAACTGCATCCAAAAATTAAAAAATTCTATGTCAACTGTGAAAGTGGAAAAGAGGGACCTTTTCTAATTCAACTAAGTGACTACTATGCATTAGTTCTCAACAAGATGGATCAGAAATTCACTGATATACAGAAATGTCTACATTTAATTTTCAAAATATTTTTCACTTGTTGTCCTTACAGCATTTTGCAGCGAGTGGGTTTATCCTGAACACTATTTATCTGAAAAAGGGAAGCAATAAATTCACTCTCTAGATTAAAGGAAGGCACAAAGGCCTGAAATGACTTGCCCCATGTTGGGGTGTTTAATTTGGTCTATGCCTCAGCCATATTCTCCCTTTCTTTCCCTTTTGTTAATCAGGTGCTAGTATCACTTACTTTTGACGTAAACAGTACTTCCACTTGGCAAGACGACTACATTGGAGGCTGGACTGGCAGGTCTGGGGGACTTCACTGTCGCTACACTGCCACTTGGAACAGGGGCAGATGTTGGGGTTGAAGTGGTACTTGTGTAGGAATAGCAAACCACCACTGAAGAGGAGAAAAGACACCTTCCATATAACTGAAGTGCAGAATCCCATTATTCTATCACTATTTTTACAACTGAAATGGAAGCCAAAGACTTACTGGGTTTACTACCTGTGGTTTTGCCTCTACATCTCTGTTACTGTTGAGCTAAACATGGCCATGAGATTAATGGTCTTCAAAGACAACACAAAAATCTAAACTCCTGTCCTCCTGTCCCCAAAAATCTGTGCTGCCAATGTGAAATTTTTTTGTATTGATTTTTGTTTTACTTTATAATGTTATTTTTAGTTTTAGCATTAATTCAATATGTTGATCTTTTTGCTTTTCTGTAAGTGATCACATCTAGACAAGTAACTGATAGAAAAGTGTTTTTGCCTCAACAGTACATCAGTTGAAAAAACCAAAATATTTGTTCAGTAGTGAAGAACTGATTGTGCTAATCAGCTTTTTTAAAGCATTGCTTTTAAGTAATAACACAATGATACAGTACTTCTCACAAAACCAGGATAAAACAGCTTGTTTCAAGAAGTGTTACACATTCTCCAGTTGTATGAAGCCTAATTCAAGCTAGTTGGAATGTGTACTACCATTATTTAGAAAGCATAGGGAAAGCAGGAAGCACCCTTTTTACTTGTTCCCATAGTACATTTAATCTGAAGGGAAAAACCCAAAGTTGTATTTTCTTGATTTTAACCAAAACTTACTTGCATTCTTAAAACAAAACATTCTGAAACAGCTTTCATCACTTACAGAACTTTCAAAATCTAGCCATTAGTCCAAGTTTTTAAAGTTTACAGAGCTGATAAAGTTAATCAGTGAATGTCATTTCCTGACAAACTGGACTCTTTTTATATTTCAATTGCTAGAGTGTCAATAATACAAAGCAGTCAGATTAATGCTGCAGATACCGCAAAGGAATCTTTAAAAAAAGGGGTATTTTATATTTCTGTGAATAATGATTGGTAAGAAAGATTTGAATTTTTTTTAATAGGTTCATAGAATGGTTTGGGTTGGAAGGAACTTCAAAGCTCACCTAGTTCCAACTCCCTGCCATCAGCAGGGACACCTTCCACTAGACTGGGTTGCTCCAACGCCCGTTAAAATATCTTTAATATTTAACACTTAAAACCTAAGACACCAGTTCCTACTGTGACGTTGTTTTTACATTCCCACAGATTGCAGCAGAACTCCATCTTTCTCTCACCTTCTTTGTTTCCAGTTTCTGCAGGAACTGGCAGAGATGCATTGTGCTGGATGGCTGCGTTGGCAACAGCGTTGGCGGTGACAGTGAAAGCTGTTTGTGGCACGAGCCGCGGCATCAGCGGCACCAGCCGACGACCCTCTATGGACCACTCCGAAGAGCTGTTTGGCCCTGACATACTAAACAGAAATGCAAGTGCTGTAAGTATTTATACCAGTTTACAAATACTCAGTATCCTATTTGAGTACATTTCTTTTCAATAGTGCAAGTCTAAAGGGCAGTTTAAAACACAGTACAGTACTAATACTCAGCTTTCTTTATTTCATGAAAGCCCTTGCATTTTGGTCACCTGATATAAAAACCCTCCCATTTTAAATTGAAGAGTTGACTCTTCTTTTGTTGTTTTGCTTTACAGAGCTGTTCAAGGGCCAGAGGTGTGTGAATGCCATACTCAAACCCCCCACATTAGGTTACCTACTATTCAGGTACAGTTGCTGTACTCTCTACTTCTGGATTATGAAAATACCAAGAAACCAGATATCATGAAAGACTATTGAAATGGATTATGTTACAGGGAAAAACTCTCTGCTTCTAAGACAAACTTTATTTTACCTCACCAAAAGAGTTTCTGATGCTTGTTGAAGTAGTCCCAAGCAAGGTGACAGAACATGAGATTATTTAAATGCACCCTCAGCATCTTTCTAAACAGAAAGCTGTCTTCTGCTCTAGTTTGCTCTTAACCTCAGTACTTACACCCACACTAGAATGTTTCATTAAAACACCATTCTTATCTAGATGAAGAAATATTTTTGACTGTTTCACATGAGTCATTTGTCAAATCAGCAAAAGCAAAGTGGCAAATTATTTCTCAATGCTGTGATGTTTTCAAGCAAATCAATCCATTTAATGTATTACTATATTCTAAAAAATAACTTCTCACATGAAATACTTCAAGCAAATTGCAGCAAAAGCTACTATAAAGTAGTTGGTAAAATCCAGAGTATCTGCTCTGTTATTAAATCTTGGTATGCTTCAGCATGCCTCATACATATGCATATTGTATAAAGAGAGCTACATAAGCTAAGAAAAGATACATTTTAAAAACAAAAAACAAAGGGTACAAAAGCTAGCAAAGTAGGCTTTCCTAATGAGTTAAGAGAATTATGTAAGTCAAATACTATATTACCAACCATCACTCATAAGGAATCACTATAGGAAAAATAAAGAAAATCAGCACTTCAAAACTGCACCTTGTCTGGATTATAGTATTTAATTGAAGGGCAATACCTCAAGACAAACTATTAATGTTTTGCAAAATGCTAGGACTAGAAGTACTACTTAAAAGGAAAACTCGATTCAGGACAGGAATCCTGATTTGACAACTACATACTTTTCATTATTCCCCCCACATTTATTTAAAGGGATGTCAGGACGTTGGTGGGTTTTGTTTGGTGAACAGCATACTTCTAAATCTTTAAACTTGAAAATTAAAACTTAAAGTCTTTCTACAGCACTAAACCAGTATGCTGATTTTGACTAGACATGGATCAAACAATTGTTAATTCCAAGTGTTCTGCTATTCATATTATTTCCTTTCTTTCCTCTTCACCAAAGCTATAACAGTCAAACATAAAAAAGTCAACAGCTGTAACACAGAATAAGAAAAAAAATACAGACACTTACAGAGCAGCTTGGTTTAAAGACAGTCCTTGACAGTAAAACTATTAAGTAATTACCAAAAATACATAACCACCTGGTCTACTGCTCCTCCACCTCTCAAAATTATGTGGAGCTTGTGAAAGCAAATGCAAGGAGGAAGCAGCCCAGCTGATGCCAGCACAGCAGCTGCATCGCTGAGAGTGGCGGACACTGATGTCATCAGCTTGCTGCAGCTTTTTCTACTCTGACCATTTTTTCCTTTCTATGCTGATAGTCTGTTTTCCACTAATCTGCCACCTCTTTTCCTCTCTTTGTCTTTCCTATGTAGTTTTCTCTTTCCTCTTAAAACAGCCTTTCCAAACTGATTAAAATAAAACTAAAAGCAAAACAAAGAAACAAAGAAAAGCAAACATTTCATCCTATTTAGGAGCATCTCTATTTTCTCCATTCTCTCTTTATTCTGGTCTATCTTACAGAATGGTCTCCATGCCAAAAAACTGTTTCTTACATAGCACTTGTACAGTGAATGGGATAGCCTTGGATCCAAAATGCAATGGTACTAAATAACTGTTTCTAGGTCCCTGTCTATCTAATCCAGTAATTCCTTCATCCATACAGTGTTTTTAACTACTGGTTCTTTAAACCACCATCAATCCTCAAAATTCTACCATTCAGTTAAGGCATAATGGATTTCCCAAAAGGTACTTTTGCAAATCAGTGACAAAATTACTTGGAACTTACTTGTGTGCAATCGTTGTTAGTCGTTCATCGTTCACTGCTCTCCGAACTTCAGCACGGTGTCGCTCTGTTGAAATACTATTAAAAAAACAATAAAGCAAATATATTTCAATCAGAGGAAAATAAGAACATTCATCTAAAAATTCCAGCTAAAATTAAACTTATGAATAATTTATCTAAGAGAAGAAAGGGAACATTTAAGAGACTGTCACTTAACCCTTGCTGTCACAGAGAGAATGAATCATATTATTGCTCAGAAACATTACTGAAGAATGAAAGGAACATTACTGTTCAAAGGATATCCTTGAAAAACAGCTAGAATCCAACCTCCTAATGAGATCAATACATTTAAAGGATAAGGCAGAAAAGTTCACAGGACACACAGCATTCTTTCCTGAGGTACCTTGCGTTCAAAGATAGTGGAGTTCTACCTTGACAAAACCCCAAGCCAGTGTACATTCATGACCTGCCTGTAACCCTTTTAACACTCAGTATCCCAAAAAAGTACCAACAAACCAGTAAGGCTTCTACCACTGAAGGATGGTTGTTTTCCTTATTAAAAACTCCAAGGAGAACAGGAATGAAACCTCGGCAACTTGGAGAATTACTTCTCCAAATTCAGATTTACATTGTGATCCCGGTGAAAGCAAAAGCATGTAACACCTTAAAAGAAAACAGGTCATAGTTCTTAGTTTGAAAAGATCGGGGTTACCTAAGCACTTTAGAGAGTTCTCCAAGAAGATCCTTCTTCTCTTTTGTAAGGTCTCCCTGTGCACGTAAGGCACTGATGACACCTGCATAGGCCTCCAGCTCTGAAGAATTAGAGCAAATAATAATTCCATTTAATGCCCACAGCAAAGGGGAAAAAATGTTGTTTTTCATATTACTGACAGCATTCTAATAATTTTCAAAGTCATTAAGAGTAACATGTCTTTCAATTATTTAGCGCTATTTCAAAAGAGATTGATGATTTGGAACTCTCTCAGTCAATTACTCTGCAGCATAAAACATTTCTATGAAACAATTGACTCATCACAGAGGATTATCTAGTTTACAAACCCAAATGAATGTGTCAAGCTCTCTCTGACATGACAATTCAGGCAAAAAGCTTGAAGAAACTGTTTAGAGTAGTTCAGAATTCTCTTCACATGTATCATTATTACGAGCTCTATGGAAAAGCTCAGATTGGAAAAAGAAATACACTATCAAAGCAGCAACTGGTTTTCTTGGAATGCCTCTCCCTAAGCAGCATGGAGAACATCAGTTCTAGTTTGTTAAATATGATTATCATAATCTTTTATGCCTATTTACTTGATATGGTACAACTGCTTGAATCTGAAAGAAATGCAACACAATGAATTAAACCTGCTCAACACAAAATAAACAATCTAGCTATTCTTAAATATAGAGCTACCACAAAGACTAACTCACAAAAATGCAACTCTGATCTACCAGAAATGTGTAACTCCAAGTGACAGATGTCATGCCAACAGCACTTAAAAAAAATCAAAAAGTGAAAGGTTACTGATATTTTTGAAGTTTGTCCTGCCCGATAGGGTGAAGATACATCTAATGAAAACAATGAATCCTGCTAACTTGGCAAAGAATGACTTGCTATTCTCAGCTTCACACTATTTAGGGAAACCCAAACCAAAAATTCTCTTGATCCTTACACAGGTGCCTTTCATTCGACACTTCCATTTCAGCAGCCAACCCAAACAATCCCACAACAGATCCCAGTTACACAAAACTAAGAATAAAAGGTGCAGGCCAAAACCTAACATTTCTGAAGTTTGCTGCAAAAGAAAACTGATGCTTTTCCGAAAAGTTTCCATTTAGGATTCCAAAGAGCTAATTTGCAAATGAAATCAAGGAATGGTGCTGAAAAGAAGTTCTGCTGTCCTCTCCCAGTTAAGCAGATAAAACAAAAAGCAGAGTAATTTTGGTTAACTAAGCAGCCTGCACAGGGATATTGAGTGACCTACAGAAGCATTTACAACTTCAGTTATAAAACATTCACTAATTAATGCAATGGTTATTACTAATATCAACATTTATTTAGACAATCATGTTACAATATTCAGGATACTAATTATTTTCCTCTGTTAACAACTTAAAGTAATTCTCAGATGCAACCAGATAATTATTTATTGAGGGCACACTTTTTTTCCCTTTTGCATTATAAATAAAGAGCCTCTACACCATAGCTGTAAAAATGCACATTCTGGTCTTTTGGAAGCTAGCAAGGATTACAGAGCAGCTGTAACTTCCTCCCCTTTGTGTTTATGCAACAACACAAAACACATGGACTAGCTAAAATGGGTTTGGCAAGCAAATATCATTATTGTTAGTGTTAGGTGCTACAATCATCACCTCGTTCAGTAATAAATCACAATCAACACCAGGTACTGCATTCCTCAAGATGCATTTCAGCCTCAGCAACATCCCTGCTTCACTCCTTACAGAGCACTCCCACTACTGCTGCACCATTAGCCAAATTAGATGTTGGGCTGTGAGCTGGAAAAGCAGGACCCCCTAAAGTAGATGGCTATTGCTGCATGTGGCTGTCACACAGCTACTGCTGCCACTGCCTTTGCTCCTTCACCCCCCAGCCCCGTGTGTGCCTCCTCCCTGCTCACAGAGCCAGGGCCCCCTTGTGGGGACACAGCTCATGCCAGCAAAACAACAATTATTATTTTTGAATTTTTTTTCCTTCCTGTCAGCCTAGGTTATGTCACTGAAGGAGGTGTAGCTGCAGTTCTGTTTGGCTCAGCTGCACCAGCAAGGTTCTGCCAGCACACCGCTGTTAGCTCGGGTGGAAGTTTTTTTTCCAGGCTTCCAGCCAGCACAGCTACGTTAATGAAACTTAGTAGCAAAATCTGGTCAAAAGCTTTTGGCACTCTGAGCTTTCTCCTAGTTTCTGTACTTCTTGAGCCTTGCTTAAGACTTGGGGCTGTCACTTGTGTGCAATATCTGCATCACTGTTCCAACAGCACGCAAATCCCAACAAGTATTCACACATATTCCAACAAATCAAATAAAAAGGGCAAAGGGAGAGAAAATAAGTTCTCAACTCTCAAAAAATAAAGTGGATGGCTCCACCATGTATGAGAACCTTGGCACAGTTAAGAAATACAGCACACCATCTCTTAGCAGTCAAACAAAATGAGAACAGAAAAGCTGTCACTTGACAGTCACAGGAAGTTAGAGGGAGCCTCAACTTTCTCCTTGACAGCATCTTCCCAGATTACGGTCCTCAGAAGAAACAGAAAAATATAAGGCTTTTTTCTTTCCCCATCTAGCATCATTTAACTGGCAAACCTCCAAATCCTTAATTACACAAATTCAGCCATAAGATCTCAAAACCAACTATATCAGATCAAATGTCTAACAAAGGATTCTCTCCCCTGCAGTAGCCAAAAGCAGGTAAGTGAGGAAAGAGCAAACATTTTTAGTACTTTCCAAAACAGAAGCATCTCTCCTCATACACTTAGATCTACAAGGACAGAGCACAAAAATATCTTCCACTGTCTTGGACAGCAGCCTCAAGTACTGAGCTACATTTGAAACAATGAAAAAGATTCCTGTGGTTATGGCTGTTGAGTGAGGACATAATTTTACCAATTCCCTTACAACCTGTATAACTGCAAATCACAAACAGCATTTTTTTAAAATCCTGTTTTATGTCTCCACAATCATAATTTCAATATTTGATTCATTCCTACAGGGACAGTTAAACCAGGATTTTACTGTGTTTTTTGGGGGTACAAAAAGGTGACTAATACAGAACTGGGGGGAAAATAAACAATCAAAAACCACAACAAAACAGGGAAAAGTAAAACATCCCCAAAGGTTCTCTTTGAAAATTTTGCTGCATGTTAACAGTGACAGAAAAACTCAACCCTGCAACACAGCAACTAGGACATCCAAGAGAGATTCAACCACATCAAAACAATTCTTCTCTACTCATTTTGCCAGGGCTGAGAGTGTCAGCCAAACATAACTTTAAGCCAGGGCTGTCAAACCAATGACACATGGAAAACGCAGGAAATTACTTGCAAGTTGCCTGTAGACATATTAAAATATTTCATGCAAGCAGCATGAAGGCAAATCTTAAAAGGGCAAAATACAGACCCACAAACTGTTATCTTACTGTACCCAGTTTGCGAAGGATCCTCTTGCACTCATCCCTGCTGAGGTCCAGAAGAGTAGGCCACACCACAGGCATCCTTCCCTTGTGTCTGTGCTCCCACAGGGCTCAGCCTCGCTGCAAAAGGAATATAAAGGCTCAAGCCCATCATTTATTGATTTCCCAAACAGATTAATCTGAACTCCTCAGCCTGCTCACAACTCCACCGACACATTCGCTCCCCTCCCCGCCCCAACATTTGTAGTGGCATGAAGGAATTCGGCAGTTTCACAACAGCATGATGGACTGTCTATGCTCTCAAGCTCAAATGCATCACCCAAGCCTTTTTACAGCGTCCTGTCTCCTTCCGAAGCTTATTTTTTTCAGCCTGAAACGCTCTCTGAAATGATGTTTAAGTCTCCTCCCTCTCTTTATGCAGAGTACCTATTAAAAGAATTCTTCCAGCGAACCGCACGGTCCCCTTCCCCCCCGGAGAACGCGTTTTGCGCCAGGCTATATTGTATGACAGGATGGCAAAAACACCGTGTGTGAAAATTTTCTCTCCACATACCAATACCAGCCCCCTCCCCCAAAAATTCAGCCAAACACGGGAACACCTCCATCCCAACGCAGCGAGATTCCGTGGGCGGCGGGCAGAGAGGGCGCATCTCCGCGATGCGACGAGGAGAATAAAGGGAAAAGAGCGGCCGGAGGCGAGTTGGGCAAGCGGGGCTTGGGAGGGCTGGGCACCGGGAACAAAAGCCCCGACGCCGCCGCAGCTTCCAGCGTGGGCTCGGGAGGGGGGAGGGTCTCCGACAAGGACGCCCGAAGGCAGCCGCCACCCGGGCATCCCCGCCCGCCCTGCCCGGCCTGGGCACTGCCCGGGGCCAGCGGCGCTGCGTTCCCGCCGGAATCGGGGAAAGAGAGGGAGGGAGCGGGCGGCGGCTGGCGCTGCTTCCCCGCATCGGCCGGGGCGCTGCCCTGGGCCCGTAAGGGGGCGGCGGGTCCCCGCCGTCCCGGAAACGGAGCTGCCCCTCTCCCTGAGGCGGACGGCCCCGGGTGGGGCGGGGAGCAGGACCCACCTGCCCGGCCGTGCCCAGCACATCGAAGGCTCCGCGGCAACCGCACCCTCCCCCCCGCCGCTCGCCAGTGCCGGGCTCGGGTTTGTTTAGTGGCGGCGGCGGCGACGGCGTTTACTCGGGCCAAGATGGCGGACGAGGGCGCTGCGCATGTGTGGGCGCCGCAAAGTACGCTAGGAATTGTAGTCTCTGCCGCCCATGTGCTGTGAGGAGCTGGAGGAGACGAGTGCCAAGATGGACGCTCGAATGAACACTGCGCATGCGCAAAGATGAGGAGCATGTTGGGAACGATAGTTCTCTCGGTGTTGACGTGTGGGAAGCGGCGCTCGCCGTCCCGCCGCTGCTCGGCGGGCGGGTACGGGCAGCCGGAGGGGACAAAACACGTTACACGTTTTCTCTGCCCGGGCTGGGGCGCGCCAGCGCGGTTCGAACGCAGCCGCGTACAGCAGAACTCTAGGAAATAACAGCTAACCACCACTCTTGGAAGGAAATATGGCAGGGGAGAACATCACCCCGACGCCATTTGGCTATCTGCAGTTTTCTAACTTGAAACGGAGGCAGGTGGCGCGCGGGGCTGCAGCGAAGCGCCTGCAGGGAACAATAAGGGAATAAATTCCGCACCTACAGCCCCGTCACAGCCGCTCCAGGTGTCTCTGTTCCCTGAGGACAGCAGCCAGCTGCACCCTGTGAAAAATGCGTGGTTTATGATTGGCTTTTCGAAAATATTAAAATGAATATTATATACGTTATGTTAGAAAGTTATGTTGTAATAATTTCTTAAGTAGTATGTTAAGTATAATTTTAGGTTATAACATAATGTTAAAATAGAAACTGTTATGTAAGATACTTTTTTTCTAAAGAAAGGACTCGCAGCGAGATAGCAGCCACAGGACACCTCAATCTTTCAGAGAAAAAGAATTTATTGCTCCATTATCAGAAGAAACGAACTTCTTCCCGCCTCACTCAGCTCTAAAGATTCCGTCAGGATTCAGAGGAAGAAGTTGACATGACCAGACAGAATCCTGTATTTGAATGGAATTTATGCATCATGTATGAGGTGTATGAATATGCAACAGGCTGTTGTTTTTAAGGGTTAATCCTCTGTTAACGGGTGTCCTTTTTCAGGATTATTTTGCCCAGAAAAAGGTACCCGGACTGTCCGTAACTCTTTCTTTCTGTTGTTTTATATTGTCCTAATCCAAATTGTCCAATTTTTTATTACTCTAATTATCTAGCTATTTTTATAAACAAATGATCAAAATGTTTATAACTCAAATTATCAAATCTGATGGTGACCTGATGAGCAGCACTCTTCAAGTTGTTGTATCTCTGTATCTCTCTTGTGCCTTCATTTCCCATTTTTATAATGCACCTTCAAAACTAACAACAGACAATGATATATAACAGCTAGGCATTTTATGTAGGTGTTGAGGCCCTGTCAGAGGTTGCCCAGAGAAGCTGTGGCTGTCCCATCCCTGGAAGTGTTCAAGGCCAGGTTGGATGAGGCTTGGAGCAACCTGGTCTAGTGGGAGGTGTCCCTGCCCATGGCAGGGGGCTGTAACCAGGACATCTTTTAGGCCCCTTCCAACCAAAATCAGTCCAGGATTCCATGATTAATTTTATAAAAGCATGCTGCTGAGTATTCTTTTCAAGAATTTGCTCAATTATATACGTTTAAACAAAATCTGTTCCTCCTTTCAGAAAGGGAAAGAAATGACCATCAATCTCTACTACTTTTTGTTATGTTCTCTACAACCCAACAATTTCAGATTCCCCATTGGCTTAAGTAACATGAATCTCATAAATAACACACACTGGTCTAATTAGTCACACTTTTTGGGTGCTAACAGAATATTCTGTCTCACCACACTTATTCTTGTCCTCAAAGACAATGGAAGAGAGAAGGAAGTAAGCTTGGAGATGGCCCAAGGAAGGGCTCGGATTTTCCCAGAGAGGTGATTTGTATGCAGCTCAGGTCACCAGGACAAAGCTGTGTTTCTCAGCTCTTTAGGGTCTCATAGGAAATGAGTGGAGCAGCCTCGCTGTAGTTCTCACTGGGTTATTAACTGCATCACCCCTGCATCACTGCAACCTGAGTGATACAGGCTCTGCAATAATCCCTTTTCTTCATAACAGCTTCTCATGGGTAGAAGAGAGGTGCTTCAGCTTGGTACTGTATGGGAACCAGGCACAGCTACTACAGCTGCTGCTTTTAAGAGGTAAACAGTGAATTTCCAGCTTCCAAGAGACTTATGCTAGTAATTTTAAAAGTATAATTGGAAAATCAAGGGAAAAAATGTATTTGTTTCAGTCTGCCAGCAATTGAGAAAGAAGTACAAAAAATCCACTATGCTTTTGATACTAACATGAATGTAACGTGGTAGATAATTTCAAATTGTAGGGAATTTAAGGATAGTTTAATGTATCTTCCGTGTATTGCATAAGAGAGAACTAGACTAGATTCTAATATAAGTTAAATTATTTCTTGGCCATTTTTTGTTTCCCAGATAAATTCCACTTATCCTAACAGGTTATTCAGTGACTCAATACATTTTCCTGACATGAGCATCTCTATTTCAGTGTCATTCTTCTTCCCTCAGACCACTGCTGATCTCTCTTCCTCCTCAAACATTTTCCCATCATGTTTTTCCTCCTGGCTAAGAGAAAAGCAGAATCCTCAGCAATATCTACCTGCTGGCAGCTTACAGAGGAGCTTTTTATTCACAGCCTTGTCAGACAGATTGTCAGCCAGGACTATTTGTACTTAAAATCACAAAGACATTTCAACTACTTTTAGTAAAGATAGCTTTGTGCTGCCAATCAATAGATATTCCCCCCTATTGTAAGCATATTCTATTCATCAAATGCTTTTTGCTTTAAAAATCCTAAGAGCCTCTGAGCTGAAAGTATTTTCATTCAGCAAGTATTAAAATGCATCAAAATGCCACTGTGTATCAAGTTAAGCATCTATTTAAACACTTTGCTGCACTGAGGCAAAAACTCAACAACCTCAGCTAGTGAAAAAAATCACTTGTGACATTTTGCAACATATCAAAGCAGGAATTAAACCGGGTACCCTCTGCAATCTTGGGAGGCAGATGAAAACCTCAGTCCTCTTTGTGGCTTGCTGTATTGGCAAAGGAGATATAAACTTGCTTGCTCAGAACAGGAAGCTAAGGATTGAAGCAAAGTCATTGAAGTTACTGCTCTACTGAGTCACTTGAGCCCTTATCTACAGCCACATATGTGTTATACAAACGCTGGGTATCTCTAACAAGCCTCTGCCACTCAAAGAACATTTATCCCAGATCAGCAATTAGCAGAATTCAGTCCCACTGGGAACCAATTTGCACTGTATTTTAGGGAAGCTTGCACATTCTCTTTCAAGTTGCACTTTTAACACATCCACAGAGCGTCCATTGCTTTAAAGTTCAAATCAACTCACCAAGAAATTAATTACTTGCTGGTGAGGGGTTTGGAACACAAACCCTGTGAGGAACAACTGAGGGAGCTGGGAGTGTTCAGCCTGGAGAAAAGGAGACTCAGAGGTGACCTTATCACTCTCTACAACTCCCTGAAGGGTGGCTGTAGCCAGGTGGGGGTGGTCTCTCTCTCCAGGCAGCAACTGGCAGAATGAGAGGACACAGTCTCAAGCTGCATCAAGGGAAATACTGGTTGGGTATTAGGAAAAAGTTTTTTACAGAAAGAGTGATAAAGTACTGGAATGGTCTGCCCAGGGAGGTGGTGGAGTCACCATCCCTGGATGTGTTTTAAAAGACTGGATGTGGCACTGGGTGCCGTGGTTTAGTTGAGGTGTTAGGGCTGGGTTGGACTCCATGATCTTGAAGGTGATTCCAACCTCGTGATTCTGTGATTCTGTGAACCCTGGGGACAGAAGTATCTTGGGCTTCACAGAGTTATGGTGAATAGATACTTCTGGATACAAATCTACAAAACTAGCTCTGTGGGATTTACCTGATGTCCATTTAGGTCGTACACTGGGGTTATCCCAACAGGGCTGTAAGGCTTGGAAGAGAAATGCAGGAGTAAAAAGAATCATGGAAGCATTTCAGACTTTAAATATTCTCTTGCAAATAAATTTTTCATAGCAGGAAACCTGCAGGAGTACACTGTCACACTAACAGTACTCTCAGAAAATTAAGGAATATCAACTTTCACCTTGGGAAAGAGACACACAGTCCATTTCCAGAAGCAAACAGAAAAAGTTATTTTATACCTACTATTATGTGAAAGGAAATCCTGTATTTAAGATACAACTAACCTTTGAAAACACAGAGAAAAGCAACACTAACACACAAAATTCCTTTAAGAATAGTTTATTAGAATACAGCTTATATGTTCAACACTAATACAGTATATAATCCCTGTTAAATGTTCCTTAGACACACTTGGAAACACACTGTGAATAAGACTTGAATAATCAAGAGGATTATTTAAAATATATATGCACACTTCAGAGGCAGGAAGAAAAGTTTCAGGGATTTCTGCACTCTTTAAAAAAGAAGATAATTTTTTAAATTTCCAAGTAAGTAGTAATGTAAACTAATTTTTATTTTTAAAGAAAGTGCTTCTAGTATCTAGCTTCTGGGTATTTTAAAAACACAGTATTACTACTGGGTTTTGAAAAGTTTCAAGTCTATTTTCTTTCCATTATTTAGAAAGCACTTAAGTCTCCACATAAAAACCACCATCCAGTAGACCTCAGTAAGTCCACTTTATAAACAAGTCCTTACCTTCATTTCATTTCATTTCATTTCATTTCATTTCATTTCATTTCATTTCATTTGGATAGCTCCTATGCAAATACACACATATCTAGAAGGTAACAGCCAGAACATCCTTGTATACTGCTTCAAATAATACAATCAATATCAATGGAGACTTTGGTCAGAAGTGTCAGCTCAGAAATATGGCTAATTTAATTTTAATACTGCAATTCTGGTCTGGCTTGCTCAGAGCCCCAGAAAGGAGTTTAGCATGCCAGTACTTCTGTTTCATGAAGCAATTTGGAGGAGAAAAGGTCTTTCAATATTGGGCAGAACATACAATTTTCTTATTAGTTATGTGAGAAGTAGTAATTTTTTTCCTACTGAAACAGATTTTCAGTGTTTTAAAATTCACTATAACATTAAGCACTCATGGTCCTATACTATTGCTACAATTGAAAATTATCCTGCTCTTTTTTTTTTGTGTTTCCTTGTATCACCATAAACATTTATGCAATATGCACTACAGATCAGATGGCAGCTATCTGGATTAAATCTAACTTAAGTTTATTTTAAAAAAGATTACTTATCTGATTAACTCATTTATACAGTTCAGTGTCCATGAATGTTGGTGGCTGACAAGTAAAGTCAAACCAATGGGGTGCAGCAGTTTTCTTTAGCATTAGCTTAAAGGACTACTCAAAACTACTTCAGCTACATACCCAAGGTAGAATTCAGGCAAACAATTAATGCCAAATAAACAGATGTTATTATGATTGGTCAGGAGCACTTGATGACAAAACTTCCTCATGTTAAAGACAGCTTTAATCCTGCTCATAGTAAACAAAGGAGGCTTAAAATATTTGAAGCTCAAAAGGAATCAAGTAAGTAGGAATTTTTTGTTATTTTTCCTTTGAAAACTTATACTTTTGACCATTTTGTGCCTTTGGATTGTGGTTCCCAGAGCCCAGCACACCTCCAGGACAGTAGGACTTTTTATG